TACCCATCCCTTGTATAGCTTAAGACTCTGTAATAGCACTGGTGAGAAGCTCCTACGGGTACATATATAAGTATATGTAAGTATCTAGGGAGATCCTGGTAGTGAGGCCAGAGATAGACACAAGAATCCATATACCTCTAGGGCTGTTACGCTTTCTAGAAATATGCTAACTTGATTTAACAACATCTGTAAATGTTGTTCTACTTACCATAAATATCCTAAAATTCCTTACCTGGATTCAATAATACTAAGTTATGTGTTGTTACTCAACATAGATACTTAAATTGATTAAACAAGGCCTGTAAGGTCTTCTGATTCCTGTTATTGTTTCCTGTACCAATAGATATTCTAAAAACATACCATGTACAGTGTATTTGACCTAGAAGGCACCACATCCCAGGTCCTGTAAATCTGTTAGTTTTCAGTACCAATAAATATTCTAAAAACATACCTGGATGTGACCTAGAAGGCACCACATCCCAGGTCCTGTAAATCTGTTAGGTTCTAATACCAATAAATATTCTAAAAACATACCTGGATGTGACCTAGAAGGCACCACATCCCAGGTCCTGTACATCTGTTAGGTTCTAGTACCAATAAATATTCTAAAAACATACCTGGATGTGACCTAGAAGGCACCACATCCCAGGTCCTGTACATCTGTTAGGTTCTAGTACCAATAAATATTCTAAAAACATACCTGGATGTGACCTAGAAGGCACCACATCCCAGGTCCTGTACATCTGTTAGGTTCTAGTACCAATAAATATTCTAAAAACATACCTGGATGTGACCTAGAAGGCACCACATCCCAGGTCCTGTAAATCTGTTAGGTTCTAGTACCAATAAATATTCTAAAAACATACCTGGATGTGACCTAGAAGGCACCACATCCCAGGTCCTCTAAATGTGCTTTCCATAATTAATAATTAAGTTGGTACATTAAATACACTACATGAAACATCAGGGAAAATTAAAACAACCCTGACTGTCTATAATTGACTTCTTGGCAAAGATGATATGCATTTACGGCTATACTGAACTTTGTAACATGTATGTTGTATATATTATTATTGACAGTAACGTGGTAAACATACCAGAGCAATATATGTTTCCCTATTTTACGATTATGAAATAAAACCTCTCTGTCTCATTATCTGGCTTTCTGATTGATATAACAGCTTAATTCTAAACACAGTACAGTAATACAACTTTTCTATAGGATATGAAAAACTAGCATTTGCTTCTGCAAGTCTGTGTATGTTGTACAGGCATTGTTACCCTCAGTACTTAATTTGACCTTATAGAACTTTGATCTCTGATCATTTCCTTGTTATTGAGGCTAAATATCACATCATGGAAAATCACCAAATTAGTTTGATAAAGGAAGTTTTTATTCGATCATCTAACCCGACGGGTCATGATTACCTATAGCCATGTGCTTCGTCTGTTGTCGTCCACCATATGTAAACTTTTAACATCTCAAACTTCTTCTCAAGTTTCACTGGTAGATTGAGCTCCAACTTGCATGAAATGATCCTGAGATGGTCCTGACCAAGTGTTGTTATTTTTCAGGTTTGTCTGAAATCCAAGATGGCCGCCATGGCCCCTATCTTGAAAAACAAATTTTAAACTTCTTTTCCAGTTCCACTGGTGCCATTGAGCTAAAATGTGGTGGTAATGTTAAAGAAAGGTAGCCAATAAAGTGTTGTTATTTTTCGACCCTGTCAAAACTTTGATGCAGCAGCAAGGGACGGCATTTTGTAACATGATTGCACAATCATGGTTTTATATGCAACCCCTATTTCAAACTTTCACCAGTTGGATTTAGATCCAACTTTACTGTCCAAAAATAGGTAACACTTGTTCCAGTTTCCTACTCCTCACCAAAACTACCATTTGCATCATGGCTTTTTAGTTAGATTTCATTCAAAGTGGAAAAAGCAACCCTTCTCCCTGCTGAAAGTTTTTTGTAGTCAGATGACCGTTAAGGCCTGTGGGCCTCTTGTTACAGTTATACACATTATGATAAATTTGATCGACACCAAATGTTTGTAAAGTGTATCTTGTTATATCTATCTGTTGAGACTTTTAGACAGGTGGTCAGTCTGGTTCAGTAAGGTGTCTTTCCTGTCTAGCCGTGCTATAAATTCTACAGACAAATGATTTATGTGACATCAACATCTACCTTTGATAATTGATCAGTATTAGACAATGATGAAGACTTCAGACAGTTGCTAAGATACATGAGCACAGTTATCAAATACATGTCCTTTCATTTAAATGAACGATATTGCCCTCATTTCCTTGCTGTTCTTCATTGGTAATGAATTAAAATAGAAATGCATTTTGAACTTTAAATGTATTTACTATAAACCTGTATCTATGCAGCAATTATAAGACTGTGCCTGTTTATGTTTACCCATCTATTATTGTTCAGTGAAAATACGTAGTAATATCTTTTTCCATTAATAAGCCCTATCCCTGACTTTGAGTGAGAATGCTGACCGTTGGTCCTTACTCTAGGTCAAGTACAGTATTATAATAGATACTAGTCATCTAATATGACATCTAATTGACACACCCAATGTGGACAGCATTGGACATGTGATTGGTCATTGTATTACTAGGTATAATTGTCAATTCCTTATTTAGACGTCACAACTAAAACATTTTTGGTAGACTATCAGAGTTGATTCTGTCACCAGATTGATGTCATTTAAGATATCTTTTTTATGTAAAAAACAACGACAAATATGCAGATACACTTTGTTGTAGACTATTTTTTAAAATGACAGGCAATTTATTTATAAAACAAACAATGAACTATTGAATAATTAATGTTTATCAAACGTTCCTGGTGGATAAATGGCTTCATTATGTAATTGAGGGAGCCTCTGGTCTCAAAACCAGTTACCATCCTATCCTGGTGTTAACAGGAATCTTATACACATGTGTCGGACTGTATTGGTTCATACAGGTGTAATAACGAGACAGGTAGGCATCTGTGGGAGACGGGCACACCTGGTTCAGGTTATATCTCAGGTTCGACCAGGCCAGACAGACCTATACGTACAAAAGATGCACAGCCGTGTATAATCTGTTATTCCACGAACATAATGATCATTGACCTCTTACTACTACAGCAAGTTTCATTCCCAAGTTACATGTACCAAAGGAGATGTCTCATGTTGTGGAAAGTGTCTGGCTCGTGCTCATAAATGCTTGGTGATCAACTTGATTAGATAATTACTGGATTACATCATCTTGACTGGATTTACTTGAATTTGATAGTGCCAGGATGTATGAGACAGTGAATTTGTGACAACATTAGTTCAGTAACTTGACAAGGTCTGCAGTCTTGATCAGTATCATCTGTTTCATTGGGGTTATATATATATATATTGTGATGTGATGGACTCCTATAGGAATTTTCCTCAGGATGCTTACAACAGAGACTGAAGTGTCAATGTGACTTACCAAGGATGTAGTGTAAGTTTCCTTGTTTGTGTATCCCTAGGCTATATAAATGAACTTATTTCATCAGACCTATTTTAAGGACAGAAGAAGAGTCATCTGTAACCATGCCAACAGTTCTGCCAAATATGTATGCATGCCAACTTTCCTTGTTTTGGAAGGATTTTTTGTCCTAGCAGATTTTAGTCATGAACCATTAGTATATTTCATACTCTTCAGAGTTTAAAAAAAAATTAAAAAAGAACAGCGTTAATGTATTTTATGGTTATTAGTATAGAGTATCACTTAGTCCATCTCTTGACAGAAAACTACAGTCCATTTAATGATGGAGAAAACTACAGTACATCTCATGATTTCCATGAAAAATACATGTTGAGTTTTTTCGTAAATCCATGAATGATGGATCCATCGTAAAAAACAACCTTCACAGTAATTAAGTTTGATGTAGCTGTTGCGAGAGACAATCTTGGATCATTAAGTGTTGGACTTGTGAATGAGATTTGAAAGAAGATCCAGCCATTTAACCCTTGTACCAATACAGATAATATTCTGAGTGGGTGCCAATATAAGTCTAAGCTGGGATGGGCTGGCCTTGTCCTTGAGTTGTACACGACAGAATATTAGTGATTGTTGTTACGTTATATATGACATGGATTTATACTGATCACTAAAATATCTGGTAAGACTTTGATTTACAATGGTAATATTTTGGTTTTGATTCATGATTAGAAATCAAGATTTTAGATATCAAATATTTCATTTTGTGCATTAAACTGTCACCATTGTTTTAACTTGTCTATACATGTCTTTTAAATTACATGGAAAAGTTTGTGCTTCACGCTTACAGTAAAAAGGAGAAGCATTAATTTTTGTGATTTATCATCCTTTATTTTTAATGTCTTTCAATATTTGAAAGAAGTTAAAGATATTTCAGTATTAGCAGTTTTATGAGCTGTTTCATAATTATGCACAAATTTCTGAACTACTGATAACTGACGTAGGCCCAGTGACACATACAGAGTAAAAGTGTTAACAGCAGTTAGTTGTTATTGTTTTACACCCTGATGTAACCTGTAAGATGGCTAACGTTTCATGAACTAGGTAACATTTATTTTTTATGTTTTGAAACAGCATTATTAGTCGGCATCCTGTCTGAACTTCATCGATAGTAGTTACAATGTTGAAAGGGAAATGTGTTAAATTTCTAGTTTTCAGTAATACAAAAAGACATATTTCCTCAAACATACTAGTACATACTGGTTGTGCCTGTATCAACTGGGGAAATAATGGAAGGTGATGATTCTAAACTGATATATATAAAATCATGAAATATTCAGTGTTTAATTTTGTAGGAATATTCGTATTGAGAGGAAGATTACAAGCGATTTTTGTCCAAAGACAAAACTGTATATACCTGGTACTTTGTTTGTGACAAATTTCTTCTATTTTGAGGCCATCGTTGACTTATAGTCCAATTTTATTAAGTGTATGTAAAACAGTATCTATTTGTTGTGTATTTTCAGGCCCTAGTGCTCCGAGTCCACAGACGGCAGCCCAGAGGAAGGCTCACCGCAGACTTACTCGGGAGGACAACAGATATCATTCTGGTAAGGTTAAACTGTATGTCAGTAAGCCTGCTTATATTTATTGCTATAAATGTTATTTCATTGTGTTGTAATAAGCCCATCCTTTGTGACTATTGAGTCAAGGTTGTTAACATGTCCCCTCAGTGACCCTCACCCTCCTAGGATAAGTAAGATTGTAAAAAACCACCGGGGTAATCCTTTTAAATTCCTTTATTATTTTTCTCTAATTTTATGGACATTTGCTTCACTTAGAGCTTTTCAGTTATGCCAGAAACTTCATTTCCTCTTTCCTTCTAATTAGTAAGTATTATCACAGCTATTGTATTATTTCAGAGCTGTTATACAATGATAAATCTACATACAAGTCCCAAGGCCAGGAAATATACTCAAAGAATTTTCATGGAATTTCTAAAAATACTTGAATTTTACATCTTGGGACCTGTTGTTTTTAACAATTAAGTAGAATGTAGTTTGATCACAGATTGATATCTGTATATTAAAATCTGATCTTTAATATTGAATATGTGGATTGGCTATGGACAATTTCTTTAATTGATTGATTTATGATTTAGTAGAAACAGTTTTAAATATGGAAGGAAAAAATTTATGAATCAGATAGCTGCATTTTGTGCATAAAAAATCAATTGTTGCAAAATGTGTAGGCATATCTGTTTGATCAGCTGTTTAGTTCAGTTTTACTCTTAACCATACAAAATATATAGTGTGTTGTCCATAACTGAAGCTGATACACAGGATCCAATAAACTGTCTTGTCCATCCCAAACGCCATACACAATTTACACAGGACCCAATAAGCTGTGTTGTCCATCCCAAACGCCATACACAATTTACACAGGACCCAATAAACTGTCTTGTCCATCCCAAACGCCATACACAATTTACACAGGACCCAATAAACTGTCTTGTCCATCCCAAACGCCATACACAATTTACACAGGATCCAATAAACTGTCTTGTCCATCTGAAACGCCATACACAATTTACACAGGACCTAATAAGCTGTGTTGTCCATCCCAATAAACTGTCTTGTCCATCTGAAACGCCATACACAATTTACACAGGACCCAATAAGCTGTCTTGTCCATCCCAAACGCCATACACAATTTACACAGGACCCAATAAACTGTCTTGTCCATCCCAAACGCCATACACAATTTACACAGGACCCAATAAACTGTCTTGTCCATCTGAAACGCCATACACAATTTACACAGGACCCAATAAACTGTCTTGTCCATCTGAAACGCCATACACAATTTACACAGGACCCAATAAGCTGTCAAGTCCATCTCTTAAAAGCTGTACACAATTTACACAGGACCCAATAAGCTGTGTTGTCCATCTGAAACGCCATACACAATTTACACAGGACCCAATAAGCTGTCAAGTCCATCTCTTAAAAGCTGTACACAATTTACACAGGACCCAATAAACTGTCTTTTCCATCCCAAACGCCATACACAATTTACACAGGACCCAATAAACTGTCTTGTCCATCCCAAACGCCATACACAATTTACACAGGACCCAATAAACTGTCTTGTCCATCCCAAAATCCATACTATATATATAAGACCCCAGCAGTAAATAAGCTTATTTATAGTCCACATTGAATATGATTTATTGCTTCGTTGCTTGCATTGTGCCGCAGCTTACTAAATGATAATCAAACTTCGTTATTGTTGAATATTTATTGGATTTAGTAGAATCCTGGTAAATGTGATTTGTATAATTGAAAATTGACTTTGCTTTATTTTTTATTAAAACATAAATCTGCATGCATGTACTAAATCTCCAGCAAACTTGTTTGTCAGCCCTGACTGTAGCTCAACACTGCAGCGTTTATGATATATGATATATATATTATCATTTTTGTATGTGCTTAGATAGTTGTTAAATTAATGAAGGAGATGATGAGATCTGGCTTGAGATCTTTTTAAGTGTGTGTGTTTGGCTTTGTGCTGTTCATGCTGCCAATATACTTAGTTCGCATTTTGTGTTTGTTATATTTAAAGCCTAATTTTCCAATGCATTTTTGTACCACATCATTCAAAACACCCATTGATTGATTGCCTGTGCCATTACAGAGATCCGCACAGAAGCAGTGATGCAAGCCCTTGCCATGTCCAAGCGCGGCCCTGTGATGCCCCTCCCTTCCAAACGCACGTCTGTCAATTACCAGGGACAACAACGACACCGAGAGAGGCAGGGTACGAAAGAGCCTGTGTTTCATATTCTAACATAAATATCTAGACTTATATATACCATATAGTAGACCATTATGCAGTGTTCAGATGGATTTTGGGTTCTTTTCCTGTTGGGTTGGGAAAATATATTTGTTATTTATGAGTTTCAATTGATCACTCATATTTTCATATGTCTGTGGTAAAATGATTTAAAATTGTTGTTTATCATAGGCAAAATTATGTTTTTGATTCCAATTTGGACTTTAAGATTTATGACCAGAATAGTTTTTTACTTAATCTGCTAGGATACCAGGAAGTAAAGTGTAGAAAATGTTATATATATTTATTTCCATTTGCTTGTCATAAGTGTTCTCTTTGGTATAAATGAATTCATTTGTACCCATATTAGTATTGATCATATGAAAAATAGCTCTGTCCTTAATCACAGACTGGTTTCTCTTACTCTCTATATCTTATCATTCTCCTGATCTGTTTTTCTTTGTCACTAACTCCTTTTACTCTAAATCTATAGATCTAATTTCTTACCAATTTCTATTTATGCACAAGATTCTGGTTTCAAAGTTTAACCAAACTTAATTTTTAAAAATTTTCTATCAACATGAAATTTTCATCACATTTCAACATAGCACATTAATCTCAGAGGCTATCCCTTCTGTGCCTCATTTTCAAAGGTTTTGATTGCTACTAATACCTAAGTGTTACAGTTTTGTAAGATGAAATCGATATAGGATCTAATGCCACAAGACAATCATTATTCTCTCTAGTCAAGCTTGGATTTTCTGTCATGTGTTAAAACATGTAGGACAGTCAAAATATATAGGATGAAAGGGAATTTAAACATCAATTTAGTTTAGAAATCTATCACAAGATTATCACATAATGATGTGAATACTTCACTGTCATATCTTTTTGTTTAAGCCACTGAAATTAATGACAGGTTCAGAAAATTTATTTAGACGAACAAAATTTGTAAAGAACTTGCAACTAGGGTGTCACAAAAGCCTCCAGAAACACGTATTTGAAACCGACTTGTAGGATTTCTGGCATTACAGCTTTTTTTTCTCCTTGACTTCCTTGTTCCGTGTGCATACCTGTTCCTATAAATTTTACTTTTTCCAAAAAAAAAAACCTCTCCGACTTCCAAAAACTGGATTGCTTATACAAGTTCTTTAGCTTTTCATTGATATTGATCTGTAGGCTAAATGCTGAGTTTTCTAACGATAATGCATCAAGTGAAATCACTGTCACAGTGGTATTTGAAATTGTTCTTAAAATTATTAGCAGAATAGGCAGACACTATTTATCTTCATGATAGTTTTTAACAAGGGAACATAAGAATGACTTTAATAAGTCGAGTTTGTAAGAAAATATGACAGGCCTGAATCTCAAGACTGAAACTGAAGAGCTCTGAGAAGATGAGGATCTAGAATAACACAGAAATGACGAAGTGTTCTTAAATTTTTATAAAACTAGACTTTTATACATTAAACACTTGTTATATACCGACAGTTCATCAATTAGGTCACAATTAGGTCGCAACAACTATGTCGTCATGGTTTCCATGAAATAAATACATATTTCTAAGATTACATCCTTTCCTTCAAAAAGAAACTTCCAAGATGACGTGGGTGTTGTAGCTAAACGTTTGGTGTCGTTGATTTCAGGAAATCGCAGGAATAGGCTAATCAGCTGTAAGTCAGGAGCACATATCTTGTGTCAAACCTAAATCTCGCATTTTTTAGTGGTGAAGGGGCATACTTCCCTTTACTTTCTGTGGTGAATTTTATTTTCTCTTTTTCATCAATTTTAATTCAGTTTACAATCATCCAGATTTCATTTTGTGGTTTTCTTTCTAGGAACTTTTTTATATTTTTTCAATCATCTAAAATTCATTTCTCTACCATATATAATCATTATAGAACATTATATTGTTTTGAAAACTTATATATTTTTTTTTTAGAAACTCTTCTGTTAAGATTGTTGTCTTAGAATAGAAAACATTTACTCTTTGTATGTAGAAAAAACATGTACCAATACTGAATTCTGCATGGTATTTGAAAGGAAAAAAAATATACCATTATACACCATTTACTGGTACCAGTATTCAATCTGACAAACCCACAGATTTAATCCTATTGATTCAAAATTGTATTATTTCAAGGCTATCAAAATTGTTTTGTATGTCAACATTGTTGTCAGAAAGCTGTTATTAGAAATTCTGCAGTTATGTAATAAGATTGGTATGTAGGGAATGGTGTTGGAATGATCCTGGGGGGATGTTGTCTCTACCTACCCCACCCGCTGTAGTACAGTGTGAGTGTTGAGTCCCAACTCCAGTTCTTCCCTCCTGGTTTGTGATTCTCTGAATTACTGACAATGTTTTAGTTTTAAACAGTGGTACTGTCTACTTTTGTTGTATGGAAATATATTTGTTAAAAGAAAGGAATTTTGAATTTTTTTTTTTTCATTTTAACAGTAGTACTACAAGATATGTGTGATTTATTGGGGAAGGGAGGGGGAATGCTGTATTATTTTTCTGTTTAGAAGTTTCATTGGAAATTTGTGTGAATAACTCTCAAAATTTACCTGTCATTCAATCTCACTTGACATCAAGAATTAATAAAAAAATTATTAGGAATCCATTCAGCATCATTACAGATAGTTTTCTAGTAAATATTTAAACAGACACTTACTTGTAAATTCTGTTGACAAATAACTTGATAACCTTTGAAATGAATGTGGAACAGTAATTATTGAATTTTTATGACAGGAAATGTCTGGTTTATGTTGTTGTTTTTAGGTAAAACTTAGTATGGTAGTAAGTTTTGAGTCACATTATGTGTGTTAATTACAGATTGCTTTATGTCATAAAGTTTTAATTCGTCTTTTTCGACATAAAATTTGCAGCCAGGGAACTGAACATCAATCGTACAGCCAGCAAACATTGGTCTACAATATCACTTGTTTGCCTTTAACTTCAGTAATTTAATAACATTGCATTTTGAATATGTGTTTTGCTTAAAAATTGGTCTGTCCACTTTTGTAGAATACATCTGTTTGACAATTAAACTTAAATGTGCTCAATATCTTTGGAGAAATTGTATTTAGATTTTATCACATTCTAAAACATAGGATTTTATTTTTTTATTTTCTTCATTTTATTTTCTTGTAGATTTCATTTTTCAGTTGAGTTACATGTAAGTGATCTGATACAGGGGTTATGTTAATGTTTCATTGTCAAAGTCTGCTGTTAAGCTACAATACATGCACTGCAGTACTTTCTACTGTTGTATATAATGTGTTATATTCAATATGAATTTCAGATTCTTCCTCGGATGATGACAGTATATTTGGGGAAGATGTGTCTCGGGATTTTAATCGTGGTGGCCGTTTCCGTGACAGTGGTGCAAGTTCATCATCATTTTCTGATGCCGGGGCCTCGCCTCATCACCAAGGTGGTCGGGGAGAGCGGCCACATAGTGCTGCATATGCTATACCCGGAAATACTTCACGCCAAGCATTGGCAGATGTTTTACAGAGTTCAAGACATTGTAAGTATTCCTGAGAAAGTTTTATTAGAAAGGCTTGGCAGTATCATCTGATGGTCTGAAACAGGAAAGCAGTTCAGGGTGTTTTTTCTGAAATTACTGCATCTTCTCATGAAATTTTGACTAGTAGACATTTAGTGGTTTAATGGACCTTTAGTCAATAGCTGTATGGGGAAACCACTGTCATAACATGTATTTCTAATCAAAGTCTGCAATATACTATCAGATAAGCTATATGTTAATCATGGTATGCTCATTGTTAGCTTAATTCTCAAACGTGCATGAACATTTTCTTTTTTTTCTTTTAGTCATGATTAGATGTTATCTGAGTTAAATTTAACTTTTACTGAAAGTTGTTTGATATTGGCGTATAATAAATATATTGTAGAAATTCTATTAATAAGATTTAAGTTACAAACCTTTCTAATTGTGACCTTAACATCCTAATTCAGAACATCAAACAAGACATAATATCCAGCAGAGATTAAATGTAGAAAATAATTGCAGATTTTGAAAACATTAAGTTATTCATTTCTTTCAATTCCTTAACTGAAACTGTTCCTTTCATTTCACTCATGAAACCCTCCAAATTCTTCTCATTCACAATTCACTTGAAGATGTGATGACCTTTACCTTAATGACCTCTAGTACATTACTGATCATGGTTTTGTGTGTGTTTGTCCTTCCCAGCACAACCTATTCCCCAGCAGCCAGACGTGACTAACAATGCCAAGAGTATGCGCCAAGCAGATCGCGTCGGCCATTATGCTCCTGCTCACCTCTCATCTGTGCGCATGACATCAGCTGGTCATGTTTCAGGTCTCCAGGACGATGGTAAATTATCCTGGTTGACAAGATACTGAATTTATATGAATTTCATTTATTGATTGTCCAAAAAAGCATTACTGATCTTTTATAAACAATTACAGTTTTACAGCAGAAAAAATCTGAATCATTGAATGCTTCACCATAGATAGAACATAATTTTTAACAAAATCACTAACTCATGTATTCTGTTTATACACACAGGTTTGTATATTAAGTATCCAGAAGTTAATTTAACATAACTGATTACATGAATGCCATCATCGCTAAAAATGATTTGTTTTAATGCGCTTAATTTAAGTATGATGCTTGTAGCTTTGCAGATCACAGGTATTTGTAGATTTGTAGAAAAGAAAAGCATTGGAAAAATACGTAAATTTATGAATGATGGAGATATTCTGGCCTGGTTTGCATTAAAATATTTTAGCAAGAGACACACAAGTGAATGTCACCATTCAATACAAATATAGAATTAGTTACATTATAGCCAAATGGTGAAACTGCAGCAAACATTTCATCATAAAGCCAAGCAGGTTCACTGTTTCAGAAAGCTGATTGTATGTTGTAAGAAGAAGTCTTTATTAACATGTTAAATTCACATGTTGATCACACCTAAGATACTACTACAGTAGAAATAAGACTTCTGTGAAATTTGTGTGTACAGAAATAATTATGATCAAGAAATGAGATACCATATAGCTGGTTATTTGCTTAGGTCAAAATATTTGCGATTTTCTTTTGAAACTTTATATTTCGACGAATGAAATATTCGCAATCTTGTTGTAGAATGACCTCTATACACATGTGTCTCATTATTTCACAGATTATATTTTTGTGAACACATTAATGCACTGCGAAATAGCAAAAATTTCACTCCCTCCAAAAAAATAAACGACTATACAATACCGCCTAAAAGTAAAACCAAGCAGAAAAAAAAACTTACTAGCAAAAAAAATGTTTGATATCACTCTTCATTTTATTCTTGGATTGTTCTGTAGGTCCACGCCACCAAGGAAAAGTTTCAGCTAAAATTCAACAGCTGCTGAACACGCTGAAAGTAAGTTTTTCTTTACAGAACTACACTGATGTTATTTACTGTTGTGGTGCATTGTTTTGTGATCCCTACCACCAACAATACTGTGACCTTTTCCTGGAGCAATAATTATTGAGGATTGTAGATATCACCAGAATAATAAAAACTGATTAAGCTGATTGGAATATATCATGATTCCTAGACATAATTTGATATTATTACAATAGTTTTCCATTTACTTATATATCACAGTTGTTTGTTTATTAACGTATAAAAAGACAAAGTGTGAAAAACAGTGATAAATGATACAAATTGGGGGAAAATGTCGATGACTTTGACATTATTTTAGTAACTTTACATTTGTTTTTTTTCAGAGACCAAAGAGAAAACCCCTCAAAGATTATTTTGTGGAAGAAGACGATGCTTTAGAAGGTACTTACTATACAAGTCATTGCTTTATCAGGTTTCTGTCCATCAATTCAAATTATTATATTTATCCTTCAATAAGGCAGTGAAAAAATCTTTCTTTATTAAGGATTTGCCACCTCAATATTTGCCGTAAAAGCTTTCAGCAAAAACGTAGGCGCGAAATTAAGAGATGCTGGTAAAACAACTCTCTGTTAAATGAAACTTTCAGTATATTTCATTCAAGATGAATTGACCTTGTATGTGAGTTAAGTTGTACAGAGCTTCTCCAATGTTTCAACAGCCATCAAACATGATGGTACGTTTTGTATTTGTCAATTTTAATGAAAAGGAACAACGTCTTCCCTCTAAAGGTGCCTGTGTTGTAAAATATCTTACTGACCTTTAGTGTTAATATCGGGAGATTGTATGTCAACTTCTAAGTAAGTGTATTAAAACATTTACCAGTAAGGACCTTTTTTTTTGTTACAGCCCCTCAACCTGACCCCAACGCCCCAAAACCAGAGGGCAGTACCCTCACACCTGTACCTGGTGAACAGCTGGTGGTAAGTATACTAATATACAATCGACAAGTGTAGATAGATAAATTATTTATATCAAGTACAGGAAGTCTTACTTACAATCTTCAATGAGTCGACTAACACAATATATAGTTCTTACAAGTTTGATATCTGATTCTTGAATCAACATCTTCGAAAAAAATGATATGACATCCTAAAGGTGAAAGTCATTTGAAGGTTTTAATCTAATCTACATGACAAGGACACAATTACAAGATTCTGTTTCTTACTCATTTCCATTAAAAGATCATTGGAAACACTCTAATTATATTCATACAACATTACAGGATGTTCATCTCCTTACTCTATTTCTGACACCTATATATGTAGGTACTTTATACTTATCCAGAAGGCCCAATCAGATGAGAGTGGTTGCAATGTTGATGCAGTCAAATTATTATCATGACATAATCCTGTCATCTTGTAATTTACTAAGCATGACTTTTGAGATGATTAAAACTAAGGCGTTGCTGATTTGATCATTCAGAATTAATTTTCCTAAGTGACATTTTTATGAAAGCTGAAAGTGGTAGAAGTTTGAGACATTTTAATGTGATTTTCCTACAGGTACCATCTGGTCTTCCCCGTAACCTTGAAGCAGCACTACAGAGATATGGGTCCTCCACCTATAAAGCCAATGCTGTCACGGTCCTGGACCAGAACGGAAAACCTTCTATCAATCTTACCTATGGTGGGTACCTACATTGGAGCATGAATTGGATTTTATTTTATTTAAGCACATAGACATACAGCATACATCACATCCATATTGTTTTAGTAAAACGTACAATGTTATAAACCTCTATATGATATAAAGCCAAGGAAATACTTCAGAGGAGTTTATGTGTCAGGGTTCAAAGGTCGATGCTTAGATCACCATTACCAGAAATGAATATTTTCAGCAAGATGGCTGATATCAGCCTTTTTGACTCTGAGCTAATAGATATTTTCATATATTGTTTCCACTAAAACAAAAAAGTATGGAAATAATTATGCCTTTGATCAATGCATAACTCTCTTTAGAAATTTGTTATGAACTTGCATGGGAGCAGAGGCCTACTTGTCTTGCAGACAATATCTAGCTTTTTCACCACACCTCATTTTTTTTTTCAAAAAAAAACAATGCTAACTACATTGGTATATCTTGTACAGATATATCTGACTGTGATAGACTCATTGTTAATCTTTAGGGTAGGGTGGAAGTGGTGGGAGCTGAAAATCTACAGAAGAGTGAGATGCTTGCTATTTTGTTTTAACAAATGTATTTCTGTTCATAGGAAAGCTGCTGAGTCGTACTCATAAAATAGCCTACACCATGCTTCACAAGGTGGGACAGAAGGGTGAGGGAGGAATAAAACCAGGTGACCGGGTAGGTGTTGTTTTATTAAAGATGGAAACTGACTTGTAGTTTATACTTTAGATCAATGTTACAAACTCTCAACATAATAACGTCTATATCATGACCTGCATAAATTGTGCAAAATACTTAGAATCACCTGATGGTTCTTTACATTTGATCAGTCTTTAGGAATTTCAAAATCAATTTTTTGAATCTGATCGTCAAAATTATGTTAAAAAATAACCTAGAAATATAAACAGATACAATAGAATTGATTATAAGATCTTTTTCCATGCTGACTGTTTATGAACCCCTGCACCATTGATTGTGAAGGCAATGTCCCGATCTTAGGTAACAAGAGGTTGGTGACACTGATGAATAAGTGTTCTATGTGAGGCTCATCAGGCTATATTACAGCAAATAACCTAACTATGTGTTTACTTACTAGATGAGCAGGAGGAGATATTGTGATCAGGTGTTGTAGCTATCTTTAGGTATACATTGTACCTGTTGCACTTAAAAACAGTTAGTTTTGACTGTACAATTTTGAAGTTGATCATAAAAGCTGAATCATTTCTAAACTATAACCGTATATTTATCCTGATAGGTGGCGCTGGTGTATCCAAACAACGATCCAATCTCATTCAGCTGTGGGTTTTATGGCTGTCTGCTGGCAGGTGTTGTTCCTGTACCTGTGGAGGTTCCATCTTCTCGACGGGTAGGTACAGGTTCATGGCAACCTACAGATATTTCTGTATAGGAAACTTTTTGACAAATTGCAGCACCCTATTTCCAGTTCATGGAAATGGGCCTATGTATAGATTATCACTGTACAGAGAGATTTGGTGTCACTTTATTTCATGTATTTTAAAATATAGTCATTATGTAGACAGTCACTCAACGAGAAAATAACACAAGGAAATTCCATCAGAGAACTCTGACCAGTAGAATCTCCAGTCTGCTCATACTACAGTGATACACTGGTTCTAAAATAGATGGTAACTTTTCAGAAACTCTGACAGCCTTGACCAAACATTCTGTTGTCACTTCTATAGTCTCTTCTTCTTACATGTCACAAATACACATTCCTCTCCTGTACAAGTATTGGGGAAACTTCCACATAGTCGATCTAATATTTTGGGAAAACCTTGCATTGTAAATTTTTTTCATATGACCATTTCAGGGAGGTACGAGACTTAAGTAAATCCAATAAAAAATCCTGATACTTCAGATACTTTCAGTATGTGTTTATCCTCTAAAATGATGTCATGATAGATATGTATGATACAATTGGTGATGGTGTGCCTACACTTTGGGAGACTTCTGTTGTAGATTTAGGGCTGACTAGTGGCAGGGCTAGTCCTATGTTTGTGTAGTAGATATCATGGGTTGTGGTTTCTGTGTATGTTTTGTGACTTTTTGATTTCCTTGCTATTATATATACCTCTCCTATATCTATTTTATTTGTATCTTTAGTGTTATCTTTTTATTTACATTGCTACAAGCGAGTGTTGGCTGGTTTTACTGTACTCTCAGTACTAATTATATTGATGACACATGCTAGCCTATGTACATACTAATAATGTACACATCAAAAATTAGAAAAAAAAATACTGACAGAATCCGACCATCCATGATGATACAATATGCTGTTTAGCTGGAGTACTTTTCCAATATATCAATCTTCATTTCCTTGAAAATTCATCGCAAAAATTTTATTTAATTTGGATAAGTTCCTTACCGAATTCTTTTATGATGTTTCCAAAAAAAAAAAAAAAAAAAATGTTGTGTTTTTTTTAAACTGTCTGTGAAATGTCATGGATCTGTTGTTGGAACTGAATCAAAACCTATATGTAAATGATGTGTTAAAATGAAGTCAACAAGCATCCTTATCAATAGCTTATTTATAAAATTTAAAAATTTATAGCCATACTTAAAATATTTATAATAACAAATGATGGTTATAGCAATCACACATCAGGGTCACTATAACCTTGTTACAATATTACTAATGATTTAATATCGTTAACTTGCCGAGCTCCTAATTCAGGTACAGCAGATTGTATATAGTAACCATGGTAATCAATTTGTCTTAATGAAACACTACAGATATATGCATATCATTGTATTAGTAAGATAATAGTGACTTCAATACCTGGTTAGAACTTGGTCATCATTGGTCATAATTAAAGGTCAAAGGTCACTATTGACCATTAAATAATGGAGGCGATTTCCAGTAAAGATTTTTGACAGGCTCAGGTTATATTTATGTTGAAGTTCAGTGTATCAGAATAGGTTTTCATATGTGTGGTACAACCAGCCATAGGTTTATGTATAATATACTGGTGACGATACATTACTCAACAACTGAACAGTGAAGGGTAACATGTACTAGATGGCAATCCAATTTACAGGTCATTTTTATGTGAATTCTCACATCAATTATAACATCATAAATGCTCCAAAGGTTATCCTTTGCTATATTTCCTTACATTGTGCCCCATACTCTCTCCTTATGTCCCAAGCTTCCCTCATTTCAGACCGTTGTTGTTGACGATAGCAAGGTAAGTTAAACATACCCTTATCTTACCCACAACATTTCACTTTCAAAAACTATTTGTTTTTCAAATTGTGCTGTTGTGTGATGTTTGATTAGCTGTTTTATATTGACTAGGAAAATAAGCCTTGATGGAAGTTTTCTTTAGCTTCTGTATGTTTGTGCATCTGTTTGTGGCCTTGTTGAATGTCTCACAGTCTGTCAAATGTCTTTTCAATATCAACCATGCTGAGAGGAAGAAACATTACTTTTGTTGAAACTTGAAATTATTCTAAACTTCTTAATTTTCTGCTTCAGATTTCTTATAAAAAATGCATACAATAAATGAACTAGGTTCATCTATGAAGTATTATACTGATAATTTATTCCATGAAAGTGATACTTAGTAAATACTTTATTATAAAATGGTAGTGCATTGCTTTAAATTGCTGGTTTGCTGCCTTAGGTATTGCTTTCTGATTACTTGATGTAGCTTTTGTAATGTATGGTTCTTCTTGTGCATGGATATAACATTTAAACTGTGACCTTATGGAATGTAAATAGGGAGCTTCTTGTGTAGATGTTTGAAATAAATCTGTTTAAAAACAAGTTATCTACCTTAACTGGGGCTACTTAAACAACTGCTAACAGTCAGGGGTTTTGTATAAGAACTGTTGTTAATCCGGGGCTTCTAGGAAGAACAGCTGATAACCTGGGGCTACTCGGAAGTTCTCCTAACAATCCAGGGCTACTTGGAAGCTCTAATAATTCGGGGCTACTTGGTAATTCTCCTAATAATCCAGGGCTACTTGGAAGCTCAAATAATTCGGGGCTACTTGGTAATTCTCCTAATAATCCAGGGCTACTTGGAAGCTCTAATAATTCGGGGCTACTTGGTAATTCTCCTAATAATCCAGGGCTACTTGGAAGTTCTCATAATAATCTGGAGCTACTTGGGAGAGCTGCTATTCTGGGGTAACCAGATGTTCTGCTAATGATCCAAGGCTACTTGAAATTGCTGTTTGTAATCTATGGCTACATAGAACTTGAAAGTAATCCTGGGCTACTCTGAAGTTTTGCTAATAATCTAGGACTTAGAAAGGTGATTAGATGATCAGTAAATAATACTATATATGTTATATACTATATATTAGAAAAGAACGTTTGTACTTGACTATTAAGCATGACATGTTTAGGTACCTATATAACTTGTGACGTTTGATATCCTCCTGACTACCCAGAGACTGATAACTATTACACATACTGCATGGACATATAGACTAACAATTTAATATTAAAATGCTTTGCTGTTCTGTATAATTAACATTCATTTATCACTGGTAATGAAAACTTAATTAGATTAATTACCTGTTAATCATACTGCATTATTCCTCCTTACAAAGAGATCTGTGGAGATCTGTGGGTAAAATCAGAGGATATTTTATAAAAATTCCATGAAGGGAGAATAGTGATCTAGTTAGTATTTATCAAATAGACAGAAACTTTTCTGAGATCACTTCACCCCACAGATTTACATGTGTTGTGAACAGTGAAAGAAAAACAAAGATTTTGAGATAATTTCATCTGTTACACATTTCCATCTCTTCCCTCTAACAACTAATACTACATTACATTGACATCCCATTTAGACGTAGCTTATTAATATTGTAGATTTACTACAGGTAGTTGTAGATAATTAACAGTTTTGTCAATTTTGTTAATTAAATACCAATAGTTTGATATCATTGTTTAGTGACTGTGACGATGTTGTCTTTAATTCTGTTGTTCATTAAAATTATACTAAAGGATGAATTTGAATATTTCAAAAAATTCAAGTTTGTTTGATTTTTTTTATCAACCAGATCAGTAACTGTGTTTTCTGTTTTCAATGACTGGTAGCAGTTATGATTTATTGTAATTTGAAAAGTTTGAATATTTTGAAAAGTAAGCTTGATATTTTTGCTCATATCAGATATTTCTGTATTTCAAAAGAGTAGAAAAAATACACATGTAAGCAAGGCATAAGCTAACATCAGCTTTGTCTAGTAACGGTTTAATGTTCTTAAATTCATACATGTAAGTCTTCAAGGAAGACGCAAAATAAAAGACAAATTTTTAGTGCTATTTTATTGAAAGGTCATGTTGCAGTCAATTTGATATTACTTTCTCTCAATCAGCTGCTTGGACAATGGAACAAGCCTTTTATTGACATTTGAAAAGTATTTGTAAAACTCATTACTGCTTAAGTGTAATATAAGTTTACATGAAATGTTCATCTCATTTAAATACAGGAAATAAATACATAATTGTGTTGTATGTACGTCTAGTATTATGATGATATTAAATAGCTTACATCACAGGAAACAAATACATAATTGTGTTGTATGTACGTCTAGTATTATGATATTATAAAAATTACATCACAGGAAACAAATACATAATTGTGTTGTGTTGTATGTACATCATAATTGTGTTGTATATACATCTATCTTAGTATTATGATATTAAATCCTTATTGTGTATGTATTATGATATTAAATAGCTTACATCACAGGAAACAAATACATAATTGTGTTGTATGTACGTCTAGTATTATGATGATATTAAATAGCTTACATCACAGGAAACAAATACATAATTGTGTTGTATGTACGTCTAGTATTATGATGATATTAAATAGCTTACATCACAGGAAACAAATACATAATTGTGTTGTATTGTATGATATTAAATAGCTTACATCACAGGAAACAAATACATAATTGTATTATGATGATATTATGATATTATAAAGCTTACATCACAGGAAACAAATACATAATTGTGTTGTATGTACGTCTAGTATTAGTATGATATTATAAAACTTACATCACAGGAAACAAATACATAATTGTGTTGATAGTATTATGAAAGCTTACATCACAGGAAACAAATACATAATTGTGTTGTATGTACATCTAGTATTATGATATTATAAAACTTACATCACAGGAAACAAATACATAATTGTGTTGTATGTACATCTAGTATTATGATGATATTAAATAGCTTACATCACCAGGGGTGTCAAAAGGGTCCCTGTGAAACACCTAAGTCTTCTACACAAATACATATTTTTCTGCAGATTTTTTCTTGAATCTCTGATCTTGAAATGTCCTTCCTACTTGATCATATTAAACTAGGAAGCAACTCTCATTCTCCAAGAAGATTCTTTATCATAACTTACAATTTAACCTTGATGTGATTGCTGTTTTAATGTCTTCAGGTGTTTTTTCTGTTTATGTAAAGTTATCTTTCCTGGACAAAGGAAGACAAAGACGTGCTCTTTATCGGTGAATGTGAAATAAAGAATTGATTCTATTTTCCCAGGATGCTGGAGGACAAGGTATAGGTTTTCTCCTTGGCAGTCTTAATGTACAGTGGGCCCTTACATCAGAAGCCTGTCATAAAGGCATGGGCAAGTCATCTAACGGAGATGTGGCCAACTTCAAAGGTACAACTTCTGTATTGGATGTTCTCAAAATCTCTGTTACAAGATGTTTGTTCTTTACAATACTTGTGAAATTTGACTTTGAATTGATGATTTTCTCCAAATACTTTGTTCAACTTAGCACAAAATTCACGATGAAAGTTTTATTTTAACAAATGTTTTCTCTAAAATTAAACTCTTTGTTGGAAAGTTTTTTCAACATTGATTTTATGAGGAAAAGAACAAAACTGAGAAAGCAAATCTATCAGAGATATTTTAAACATATACCGATCAACTCCATTGTTTGAGTACCTAAAATTGGTGATGTGTTATTTCCAATATACTGTTGTGTTTTTAGGCTGGCCTAAGCTGAGCTGGTTCATCACAGATCATCTAAGTAAACCTCCAAAAGACTGGCACCCACCACCTAAACAGTCGGAGGATTGTCCTGCTTATGTAGAGGTTAGTACATCTGTTGCAGATCACTAGATATATAGCTTAGTCACTCAGTACTTAGTCAGTCTTCAGAGAATTCCTTGTACATATATAATATGGAAAATGATACCTAGATTGGGAGGGTCACCAAAGCTACAGGTTACGGGGGGTGATGACCAACAAAGGTAAAGATTACATTGGGTGAAGGTCACCAAAGGTAAAGATTACTTTGGGTGAAGGTCATCAAAGGTAAAGTTACATGATTAAAGGTTAGTAAAGGTTACTGAGGATGAGGCTCAATAAAGGTAAAATTTAAGAAGGTCACTTAAGGAAGAGGTTACAGGGGGTGAAGGTCACCAAAGGTAAAGATTATATGGGATAAAAAAAAAAAAAAATGAGGGTTAAAATCTCTGCATACCATGTTCTGTAAATGATGTATTTTTCTATGTTACAGTACACACAGAGTAAGGAAGGAAGTACAGTAGGGGTGAAGGTCACCCGTAGTGCTATGTTGTGCCATTGCCAGACACTAACAGTAGCATCTAACTACACAGAAGGTGGGTTAATGTAATTGAAAAAAATACACAAAATTTAATTGGATGATTGGAAAAAATATCATTGATCGAAGATAGTTTCAGTGGAACATCTCTTATGTGTATATCTTCAGGATTTTCCTGAACGTTGATGAGATTCACCGAAACTTCGCTGTTTTCGGCAAATAAAATTCATATTGTGTTGTAATAGAATTGAAAATTTGTTACCATTTTAGAAACAAATCAATGAATTATGAAAATATTTTGTCAGGTGATATTTTATATACCTTATGGTGACCATTTACACAATAATTGCAAATCCTAATGGATATTTCTGTGTTACAGGGGAGGTCATGGTCTGTGTTCTAGATTTCAAAAGAGACGTTGGTTTATGGCATGGAATTTTATGTGTAAGTTCTATCATAGAAATCTTAATTTACCATTTCCTCGCAGTGTATCTTTGACATAGAATTATAACTTTTCATTGTCCTGGTTCTTTCCGTAAAGTGGTAACAGTTCAGACAATGAATACTACATCAAAACACTAGATAGTGATGGAATTTATTGTAGAAAATAATCCCAATACAATAGAGAATTTAAAAAAATTAGAATTGTGGAGAAAAGTAGCAGCTTGGGTTGAGAAGCATTTCCAGCTGATTTCTGACAAATCTAAAGCGGAATACAAGCTGTGCTCGTCTGTTTTATCAAAACTGCTATGCAAATCAGCTCTACTAGATAATGTGGATTTTATTTTTGAAAGATAATTCTAATACCAAAGAGGGTTTAAAATATATACAATAATAAGAATTAATATACCAGCAAACTTAATCACTGTCATACAATTGAGTTCCATAGAGCTATTTCAATGCGTTTCTTCTGAGAGTTTAGTATCTGTTTACTTACTTAGACGTCTACATTGACAGTTTGTAGAAAAGCATATAGTAAAGGGCTAACTCAGAGCTGTTTTGTTTTATATTATTTTGTAGAAAAGCATAAAGGGCTAACTCAGAGCTGTTTTGTTTTATATTATTTTCAGATCTGTTTTACATTACAGAGTGTATTCAATGGCATGCATGTGATATTTATTCCGTATTCCCTGATGAAGATTGACCCGGCTTCGTGGATGAAAATGATAACAAAGTATAAAGGTTGGTTATAATTTTAATACAACCTTTACATCATCATTTTCAGAAAGTAAGAAACATATGAGATATTTCAGTGTGCCAGAGTTAACTTTCAGGTCATCGTTACTATATATAGCGTTGTCATCACTCTCTCAAATTCATTTTTCAACCAATTTTGATCAAACTTGATGTATCATAACACTTGTTCCTTGAACTAGTTGGTGTTTCCGTTTGTCAGGGTCAAGGTTACTGCTTACATGTATGTTGATACGTAGACACAATTATATCAATTGTCAGAGGATGAAGTTTGTAGTGTGTGATTTAACTTCACACTGTTATATGCAACACAAGGGATGTGTTCTTTAACAAACTTTATTATAGATGATAGTGAGGGGATTTGTATCATTTGCTTGCAGTGCAATAAGCCCACAGATTAACACATTACCTCTGATTCAATGTCAGGAGTGGGGTTTATTATGTTCCTCAAAGGGAGAGCATATAGTTGCCACTTTGTCCATCCACCCATTTCTTTGTCTATCATAATTTTGTCTGGAGTATAACACAGAAACTATAAGAGGTATCAACATAAAACTTAATAGGTAGTTAGATGTTGATAAGGAGAAATTTAGTGCAAAAATTATTATTCTCTTTTGCATAATTTTGGAAATATTGCCCTTTGTTATTTTTCATACTTAAACTTTGTTCCATTCTCTGATGGGCCTTGTAACTGGATTTGAATAAGAAATAGTAATTTGATTAAATAGTATTAGATACAGCTAGGTACATCACCAGACACAGAGTTATTGTTATAATTATTCTTATAGACACAAAAGTACACTTTTTGTGACTTGTTCATGATTCCTGACAAAAATTTCTCTAATAAACATCAAACTCTTACAGTAGCTTTTGTTTAAAAAATAATTATCATGCATGTTTTCTGATTGTAATTTCACATTAACAGCTTCCGTTGGTATTGTGAAGTCTCGAGACATGCATTGGGGCCTGTTGGCACAGAAAGACCACAAAGATGTCAACTTTAGTTCTCTACGATTACTACTGGTGGCTGATGGGGCAAATCCATGTAAGTCTTCATCTACAGTTCTTGGCGCTCAAGCATGTTTTGATTGAAAACTGCACCAGTTTGTATGACAGGATTCTGAGTTTTAAGAAAGAGACAGGGGAACTGGCCTTTAATAAAGAACAATTTTAAACTGGTATTTAAGTTTGGTGTTTTTTTAAGTGGGAAATTTGTTGCCTTAGATTCTTTTACTGAAACAAGTTAATAAAGTGACTGATCTTGGCAAAAAGATTGTGATTTCCATCAGCATCATAAACTACTTTGCACCTATAATACAAACAGTATCTTTAATGAGATGAAATATTGACTACACTTAATGTTGACAGGGTCCCTGACATCTTGTGACGCATTCCTCAACGCGTTCCAGAGTAAGGGCTTGAAATCAGAAGCGATCTGCCCATATGCCAGTTCATCAGAGGCCCTCACTGTTTCCATCAGAAGGTATGTTTATATTTTATATGTTTATGTCTTTTATACTGATGTACATTACATGACCTTGACATTATACATTGACCTTGAGCTGTCCTGACATGTCTGGTCTCATTTTGCCATGTTAAGATTATTTTCCATGCCCATTGTGTCACATCCGAGTCAATGTCATATCTTGAGAAACTCTCAACAGATTTTGTTCTAATTTACCACGTGTATTATAACATCACACCACACCAATCTTCTTAAGGTGGTCATCGGTGAATGTTAAAGGGTCATTTATAAATGACCTTGACATTTATATATGATATTCATTTGTATGGCAAGACCTTGATGACCTTGACCTCTTTTCTTGTAGGCCTGGTAAGACGAGCGCCAGTAAGACAGGACGAGGGATCCTGTCCATGCAGGGACTAAGTCATGGCGTGGTGCGAGTGGACAGCGAGAACAGTCTTACCTCACTCACCCTTCAGGACTGTGGCCAGGTTATGCCTGGAGGTCAGTAAACTTATTGGGGTCAAAGGGATTTATATTTCTGACAATATCAATTTCTTGTACATTTCTTTGATTTTTGTCTCTGTGTTCATTTTATGCTCTCAGTTGTAGTCTTATTTTTGCCAGGTTTCATTGGTTTGGTCTTAAGTTGAGGTTTAAATAGGGAAAATCTCATTTATGATTTTGGATCATGACAACAAAATAGCCATGAGAATTTGTTATAGAGTAAAACATACATTATCTAAAATTTTAAGAATATGTCTTTTAAACATTAACAATGTTTTTACTCCGTTTTTCCAGAAGTTTAGATAATACTTGATATTTTGTTTATAGCTGTGATGGTGGTGATTAAGATAGATGGCCCACCGGTTCTGTGCAAGACAGATGAAGTTGGAGAACTGTGTGTGTGTTCTGGGTACGCAGGCACGGGTTACTGGGGTCTACAAGGTATTACTAGCAACACTTTCCAGGTCCAGCCTCTCCATGGCGATGGCCGTTCTGCTGGAGACAAAATGTATGTGAGGACAGGACTTCTTGGATTTCTTGGTCCTGTAAGTTGAGCCTGTTTTCTTCTAAAGCAGATCTATAGGCATGTCCCATTTTAATGACATATATCCCAGCTTCTTTATTGAGGGGTAAAGACTTTGTGAAAGTACCTACCGTAAATTTCCACGTATAGTACACACTTTTTCAATTTCAAGAACCTCTCATTAGATTTGTTTCGTATTTATTTCGTAGTATCATACCATCATAACATCACATTCTTCACCTTATCATTCCACCAAGTTCATATTTTATGATATTTTTTTATTATTTTTTTTAGTGCTTTTAACAATATAAGTGTCATTTTCAAGTTGAAGAGACATAAATATCTTCGAAATGTTTCAAAAGTTTAGCTGAAGTTTCACACCAGATTTAAATTTTGGAAAATTTGTAGTAAATATCTCATAAAATCCATCATGTATTAGTGATTAATAATAAACATTTTGCATTTCAGGGAGGTTTGGTTTTCGTGTGTGGAAGTAAGGAAGGCTTAATGAGTGTTTCTGGTCGCAGACACAACACGGACGACATCATCGCCACAGTACTAGCAGTAGAACCAATGAAATTTATATACAGAGGGAGGTAGGTTTCAGTGCCAGTACTATCTTAGTCATTTGAATGTTTTCTTGCCTCTCATCAGATAATGATAACTTCATATACTGACTTTGTATAGGTCTTATGTCCTATCTGATAGTCAGTATCAAATCAAGTTTTCTTTGAACTGATCAAATTATCTCCCTTGTTTGACAGGATTGCTGTATTTTCCATACCAGTGCTGAAGGATGAGAGAATTGTGATCATTGCAGAACAGCGACCCGATTGTACAGAGGAAGAGGTATAAACACATCTTTTGGGAATCTACCTTTTCATCAAAATAAGGATAAAAATATATGAAATAGACTATTTTAGTATTAATTAAAAAAAAACATCTATATGGTGGGTTTTTTCATAACTTACTCTTCAGAATTTGTGTAAAACTATAAAGTATTGAACCTTCGAAACAGACCACATTCTACAGTGTCTGGAATGCATTTTTATGAGGAAGAATAGATATTTAAATGTCTTTAATTTGTTTCAAGATAATTTGAGATTTATTTGATTAATTGAAGACCAGATGCCAAGGTGTGTTAATCTATTTGCTTCACTTTCATTGCATGGTTTAAGTATAACAAAATTCTTTGCTTGCTAAAATCAAATTGTGGTTTCCTGTGTTGTTTTTCATAACTTATCATTTTTTCAGAGTTTCCAATGGATGAGTCGAGTTCTTCAGGCAGTAGATAGCATACACCAAGTAGGAGTGTACTGTCTAGCTCTAGTCCCTCCAAACTATCTCCCCAAGGTAAGTCCCGCCAAACTATTCCCCAATGTTTGTCAGCTTCTTCAAACTTATCCCCACAAAGCATGTCCCTCCAAATTATCTCCCCAAGGTTAGTCAGGTCCTTCCAAACTATCCCCACAAGATAAGGCAGGTCCTTCCAAACTATAAACACAAGATAAGTTAGGTCCTCCAAACTATCCCCACAAGATAAGGCAGGTCCTTCCAAAATGATCCCCCCAAAGGGAAGTCAGGTCCCTGTTAACCACCCCCACAAGGTAAGTCAGGTCCCTGTTAACCATCCCCACAAGGTAAGTCAGGTCCCTTCAAACTATCCCCACTAGGTAAGTTATATTATCAGTTTGTATTTAAATTTTTCTGCACTTTTGACTTCTTTGTTGTATTTTTAAATTAAGATTGTCATGACAGCACTTCAATTTCTGACAAGATTCTGCTCTATCTGTTTTGAAAATGTACAGATTTGAGATTTGGAATTATATGTGAGATGTTGGACTTTTTCATGAGGTTGACAAGTTGTTTTAGACATGAATGTTTGGTTTGTAGACACCACTTGGTGGAATTCATCTTCATGAGACTAAAAAGAAATTCCTGGATGGATCCTTACACCCAGCCAATGTGTTGATGTGTCCCCATACTTGTGTTACAAACCTCCCTAAACCACGGGAACACAGACCAGGTAACTAGACTTCTAACTATCCCTGCCAGCTGAAACCTACTTTTTGTTGTCAAGATTCTTTGTTTAGACTGGCCAAAAGGGTATTGGATACACATGGTGCTAGCAAAGACATCTGTGTAAAAGGCACCTTTTATCTGAAAATAAGCTTGGAGTAACTGTGATTTTAACAGCAGTGTTAAACTTTGAGCATTTCCCTGCTGCTATAGTCATTGTCTGTTATATTTTAATTATCAGTACATAATGAAATGTGTCTTTTTTTCATTTTCTGGTGCTATGTATCATTTTCTGGTGCTATGTATCATTTTTCATCACCAAAAATCATGTATTGTAACTGGAGACTGTTATCATCTTAATGTTGCTCTACCTTAGTAATTGTTTTGTGATATTCTTTTTTTAAAAAACGACTGTAAATCATTTATATTTTGTGTAGGATAGCTTGTTCTGTTAATACACACAAAGAGTTAATCATGAATTTAAAACCTCGCAGTTATTTATAGAGAATTCTTAATGACATCCATGCTGATTGGATGACCCAAATCAGAGTCTATATACCTAATACCCCATCATTTGTCAATTTAAAGTCATTTCTTAATGACATCCATGCTGATTGGATGACCCAAATCAGAGTCTATATACCTAATACCCCATCATTTGCCAATTTAAAGTCATTTCTGGATCACCATTTGTAAAAACATGTATTTCGTGAATGTTTCTTAAGAAGTAAGTTCGCAAAATGAAGCATTCACTACCTCAACATGATTTACATTCCCATTATTTTATGTTTCAAAATAAAATAAATGACTTGTTACAATACGTGTAAAGTCTGATTGGATAGTCCGACCACAGGCCTAAATCTATCAAATGTTTATGTCTATCACAGATGTGACTCCCTCAGCTGTACATGTGGGAAACATTGTACAAGGGGCTCGCATGGCCTGGGCTCAGGGGAGAGAACTGAGCATATCAGACGAGGATTCAGACTCTGCACGAAAGGTACCGGTACGGCAAATATCATTTTCATCATCATTCTCATTATCAAAATTTTCAAGGGAAGCTGATTTCTTCAATTTTGTTGAAATTTAACTGACTTTTTTTATTTAAATGAACGATAACTTGTTAGAAGTATTGTTATTGTGAAAATATGATAAGATAACAGCTAAAATTAACCTATTTACATTACTGTATAGCTGGTAATAATCCCAGAGGATTTGGTTTTGCTGTTGTTGTGGTCATTAAAGATAGCACAAAATTAAATAACTCGGTGAACATTTCTGTCGTGAAATAAAATCTGGAAATCTATATGCTATGCCTGTATGCATAGTTAAAAGTTGATAGATATGAGCAAAATGCAATTCCCATGAGCTTGTCCACACAGCAACATTAAAATATTATCCCAGGAAAATTATACAGCTGTACACTGTATGATGATTTTGTTTGTTATTTTTGTAATTTAATTTTGATTTCTAAAATTTATGGTTTTTAAGATCACTTCCCATCATGATCATCACTCGTGTATATATATTTTTGATCATGTGACCTTGGCAAGATAACCTTAAATGTATGATATGTGTATATTACAGCACCAGTTCCTCACAGAGATCCTACGATGGCGATCACAGACCACACCAGACCACAATCTATACACATTGCTCAATTCTAAGGTAGGTAAAACAACAGTGGACATACGTATTGATCTTATAGAAACTGTGTCAGGAAGTTTAATGTTAAGTTAAGTTGATTAGGCTGTGAATTCACTCACCAAGATGGTCATTTCCTACCTGTATAACATAACTGTTATGTCACTCTCCCTAATTTCCTGGATTTTCAAGGCAATTAAATTGGCCAAACTCACTGTTTTATTGCTAATTTTACATTTTATTGTAAAATGTGACGTTGGCCACAGCTGATATGATCTTTGTTTAAAGACAATATTTTGTCAAATAATCAACATTGAACGCTAAAATACCACAGAACAGGTTAATTTTGCTACGTTCATAGTTCAGCATTTAGTTTAAACTGGAAAATCTAATCTCATCCGTATTGTATTGTCACCATTTAAGAGCAGAAACTAAATATTTGTATAAGTTATTCCTTTTCATGTTCATTTCACCAGTTCAGTGTTTGTCCTGCATTCTTATTGTGATACCACTGTTATACCGTATATCTGAAGACTTGAGATTTTACTGGGGTTTTTCGGAGTCTTGTCCTGCATTCTTATTGTGAAACCACTGTTATACCGTATATCTGAAGACTTGAGATTTTACTGGGGTTTTTCGGAGTCTTGTCCTGCATTCTTATTGTGAAACCACTGTTATACCGTATATCTGAAGACTTGAGATTTTACTGGGGTAAGTACAACCCTATGAAACTGTTTTTACTTTTCTCAGGTATAAGTACAACCCTATGAAACTGTTTTTAGTTTTCTCAGGTATAAGTACAACCCTATGAAACTGTTTTTAGTTTTCTCAGGTATAAGTACAACCCTATGAAACTGTTTTTTAAACAGTTTTCTCAATTGAAATAAGTACAACCCTATGAAACTGTTTTTAGTTTTCTCAGGTATAAGTACAACCCTATGAAACTGTTCTAGTTTTCTCAGGTATAAGTACAACCCTATGAAACTGTTTCAGTTTTCTCAGGTATAAGTACAACCCTATGAAACTGTTCTAGTTTTCTCAGGTATAAGTACAACCCTATGAAACTGTTCTAGTTTTCTCAGGTATAAGTACAACCCTATGAAACTGTTCTAGTTTTCTCAGGTTTAGTGAAACTGTTTTTATGTTGAGTCCCAATCCTTGTTAAGATGAACTCTGTTAACATTCTATCATCTCTCTGCCATTTGACTTGCTAGATTCAAGGGAAATGGCCATACCAGGTAACATTTGGTCTTGCGGACTTCTTCGGAGGCGTCATGCCTGTTCTATATATATCTCTGCCTTAATCAAACAACCAACATAAAGGATGTGTGCAAATGAACTCTGACCTATCAAATTATTTCCTCTTAGTGTACCACTTTTACCTTCTGAATACTTTTCTCTTCTACAACATTCAGATGAGATTTGAAAGGATTTTGTCTTTACCCCTGATAAACATTTTAACTATGTTGTTGACCCTCTAATGATTATCAATTATCCTCTTCATGGTGTTACGGTACTTTATGGTCTAGTTAGAAGACTTTCTAACACACCAATAATCTATTTCTGTTGTATATATTCAGGCAGTCCTCATTTACCAAATGTATATTCTAAAAAAATTCTTACAGGTCTATCAAAGGAAACAGGTTAATGCCAACCTTTGATTTTTTTTTTCTCTGAATTAAAAATAGTTTATTTTATTAATATCAGATATCTTTTCCACCACTTTTGCCAAATTTTTATCATTCAAAATTTTTTTTTGACCATTTTTGCCTTCTTGGATTTTACGTTTTTTTATTTATTTATTTAATTTTTGTAGGCTTATCAAAGTAAATAATAATATATTTCCATTTAAATAGTTCAGCACAGACTTTAAGTTGGTTTAATTTTTTATGGGGGGGATGGCATGATTCAGCTTGTGAGGTATGAAAGAAATGTTCTCTGTGGCATCTTACTAATTACTGTAATAATGACACTGCTGTAACAGCCGATATTGTCTTCATTTATCTTTTGGCTTCAGTACCATTCTAAACAATGGCAGGTAAAACATTTGTCACAATTTTGATAATGCAGCGTGTTTTTAGACTAAATTGATTAAAATCAGTGTTTTCATTTCAAATGTGAAGTCAAGTGTGCATTACTAAATTGTGTTGTCCTGACACCCTTTGACCCCTTCAGTTTCCAGGATGGTATGCTCTTTTTTATACTAAATAGGTGATTCTACTGGAGATGAAGGGGTAGAAGGTGCCAGGGTTATAGTTTAGTTTTAACATTAATTCAAAAGCATTTTTAATTGCCAAACTATCAAAAGTTTGTTTAATGTTTGACTACTTATGTTTTGGATATGTCGGAGTACGTTTATAAGTTGATAGTTTTCAGCTTTAAGTGTCAAATGCCTAAAAATGTCAAATTGGTGATATGTTGAGTTTGTGAACCTAAATTAGTAAAATTGTTACATGTTCCAATCTCCAAAAATATAACAAATAAAAATGTTTGTAATTTTTATTTAATTCTTTTTAATTCATAATCATTATTTAATATTTTTGTTTTTCAAAATAGATTTAGCTGCCTATAACACTGCATTTAACATAACAGTGTCATTTTCAAACAGTCAAGGCTTTTGTTAACATTACATGGAGTCAAATAGGATTTTACACCATTTTTAACATTATTTAGGGAGAATTACTAGGCCACAAATGATATTTCTGCTCTATAAACTTTCTTATCTGCCACTGTGTATTACTGAACGCCCAAAAGGACTACAGTCAGTATGACTGGCATGTTCTTAAGGACAGTCTCTCTACACATGAGGCTGTTTATTTTATGCATGTTACTATGAAGGTCCTGTTATATTTTTGTATAATCATCGCTTGTTTCACTATAATTGTAAACATTCATTTCAATATTCTTATAATCATCTTATATGTTTATGCATCTGTATCAACAGTTTAATTGACATTTGGATTTCTTAAAGTGATTTTATTTAAGATGACATCTAAGAAGATAACATTTTGGAAAGTTTATGTTGAATATAACAAGGAGAGGATCATAATGATATCTGTTTAATTTTAAGATGTATTATAACAAAGCTACCTAGACTTTATTGTTACTGTGAACAAGTAGGAGTGTGAACACAAACACTTCTATAATGAAGAAAAATCTTAATGAATTTTAGAGCAAGATTTAATCTAATCATTTTAGCAGTTATAAGTATTTAAGAGAAAATGGAAATTCATATTACATATTGATGTAGACCTTATTTTAGGAAACTGACAATGATGTATATATGTATAATAATTATAATAGTTTCTATATATACACTTATACCTTTGTCAATAACACTAATGTCATTTACTGGTATACCCAAGAATAGTTAACAGTCTTGTACATCTAATCCCCTTCACTATCGATACAGAAGTCTAAATCCTAAAACTGATTGACAGTGAATATTGTTATTAGCCTAAATATACCACTTACGACTACTGTTGATGACTTTGTGACTAATTAGCCTAGAGTTGATAACTTTGTAATCGGTTGGCCTAAAATGCCACCATCATCTGTTTATAACTTTGTAGCTAGTTTATCTAAAATGCAACCTACAACTTCTCTTTATAACTTTGTAACTAGTTAGCTGAAAATGCCACCTACAACTACTGTTTATAAGTTTGTAACTTAAATTTAGCCTAAAAATGTTAACTACAGCTACTGTTGATGACTTTGTAACTAGTAAGCCTAAAAATGTTACCTATAGTTACCGTTTATAGCTTTGTAACTAGTTAGCTTAAAAAATGTTACCTACAGCTACTGTTTATAACTTTGTAACTAGTTAACTTAAAAATGTTACCTACAGCTAATGTTGATAAGTTTGTCACAAAGGGCTATGTGTTAGGGTTTCAATTGATAGTTTGTATGATACAATGTATGTCTTGACGTGACGTTCTGTTTACAGAACTACTATTAGGATTACTTACTTTCACTATATCTGGTTTTATTTTGTATCACATAATTAACCTCTGCATGACATTATATTTTGTTTAGATGAAAATTAAATATTTCATTTGTTCATTCTTTAAAATGTGAAGAACAGACGGAAACTTGCTTGGTTATGTCAAAATCCCAGTGAAAATAAAGAAATATTGAATATTTCTGATTTCTTCACAAAACGGTTGTTTTATTTGATTGGAGTAAATAAACTGATGTTTTAGTTACACATTAGTGAAAAATGTTTTCAGACTGAGTTAAAAGGTTTTGGGTTCTTGCCAAGAAACTAGAATATGTAACTTTATTTATCATAGGTGGCACTAGAAACAAAATTAAGGGTTTTATCTTATCACATTACTGTTAGAAATAAAAGGCTTGCTTCTCATCTGATTGGTCACTTTAATGTGAAAAGTTTAAAAAAAGATAGATTGCTACTTACACAGAATACTTGAAGTTGATAGCACAGTGTATTTGATTTCTAACAACACAGTAATTAACAATAATCCTTGTATATTTGTCGTTTTCATGTTTAAATTTTTAATTTGTTAAAAATTGGAGAAAAGACAAGAATATGACATATTGTTTACTGGATGCCATGCTTTATTATAAAAAACTTCAAGGAAAAAAAAACTTTCACCAAGATCAAATTTGTACAGTGAAATGAACTCTCCAACATTTTGATTTACATTACACAACACAGTGATAAATTGGTCCTTTTATATTGGAGCGATAACATCATTAATTTTGATAGAATTGTTGTTGTACAGATTGATAAAATATTGAGAGATCAAATAACAAGGCTTTGTGATCGTCAACAGGTACAAGCACAGCTGACCATGACATGTTCCCAACTTCACAAACGAGCAGAAAGAATTGGCTCCATGTTGATGGAGAAGGGCAAGCTCAACACAGGCGATCATGTTGCTTTAATATATCACCCAGGTAATGTGAAGGGACCATGTCACTTTAATATATCACCCAGGTAATGTAAGGGGACCATGTCACTTTAATATATCACCCAGGTAATGTGAGGGGACTGTGTCACTTTAATATATCACCCAGGTAATGTAAGGGGACCATGTCACTTTAATATATCACCCAGGTAATGTGAGGGGACCGTGTCACTTTAATATATCACCCAGGTATCACCCATGTCACTTTATATATACCCAGGTCATGTCCTTTAATATATCACCCAGGTAATGTGAGGGGACCGTGTCACTTTATATACTTAACACCAACATGATATGAGGAAACAATGTCATTTTTAAATATCACCCATATGGTGACTATGTGATAATAAAATTTCACTAAGTCTTGTGATATGTGTGAACCATGTCACCTTAAAATATCACCCATTAGGTGTTTGGGGATCATGTCACTTTATAAACATCACCCAGGCAATTTGTTGGGACATTGTTGGATGATGTGATTTCTTACCAGGTACTAAAACACATATTATTACAGATACTTCAATATTTAAGCCAAATATTTTGTAATATGAAAAAAATTTGTGTGTTTACAAAAATTATGACATATTTGTTTCATGATCATTCTAGTAAAAATGGGAGATCTGATGATAACGTTTTCCTTGTAACACGTACATCTTAACTGGAGAGTTGATAATATTGATCTTATATTTGTGTGGTGTTTTTCAGGCATAGAGCTGGTGGCAGCATTTTATGGCTGTCTTTATGTTGGTGAGTTGAAATTTATCCATTACATTTTAAATTTTATAAATCTGAAAACATATTCCAGTTAATGTTTTTATAGTCAGATTGTCCATATTGATCATTCTGTGTCGTAGATACTGCAAGGGAGATAATATTGATTTAATGTTTGTAATTTTCATGGTTTCAACATTTTTTCATCTAATGAGGTAAGGATCTTAAAGATTGAATTGCTTTTGTACAGGCTGTGTTCCGGTCACCATCCGGCCGCCCCACCCACAGAACATTTCCACAACACTCCCCACAGTTAAAATGATTGTCGACGTCAGTAAAGCATCAGCCATTCTTACCAGTAGTATCGTACTAAAGCTGCTTAGACTCAAGGTAACACCGTGACACAATACTGTAAATTTAGATATTTGTGAGATTCATAAAAAATAAGGATTTTTTTTATAGAATTACTGTTTGATTTGCACTTATTGTCTGGTTAAAGAGTACCCATAAAATCCTGTATGTAATGCAAAAAAAACATGTGAGTTTTTAATCTGTGTGTCAATCTGTAGACACATGAATTTGTGGATCAATAATGCCCTGAGGAAAAAACGGGGAAAAAATCTATCAAAATTATTATTTTGGAAATACAACATGAAGAGTGGAAATATTCTCTGTTCTCTTTTACCGTATGAAACTTTCTAAGTATAATGGAAATATTGGAAAATTTCTGTTTACTAGTTAGACAATAATTAGGTATATAAGATCAATTGGAACATTAAAGACTCAAATCATTAATTATGTGGTCAATCAGAAATTGTAATGTCTTGGTAATTATATAAGATTTTCATTGTAAGATCATATGGGTTAAACCAGATCTGTGTCTGTCATTTGCTCGCAGGAGTCAACAGGAATTGTGGAGACAAAAGCTTGGCCAACAATACTTGACACAGATGATCTACCCAAGAAAAAATTAGCCGCCATCTACCGTGCCCCGACCCCAGAAATGATCTGTTACCTCGACTTCAGTGTCTCCACCACCGGAATGTTAGCTGGGGTGAAGGTAAGTAATGTATGGTAACATTTTTAAACAGTATCATAATTTATTCCTTATTTTGATGAAAAATATTTTTACGAAAAAAAGGGAAATCTTTTTATCTTAAACACTGGCCAATAAGGGAGAAAACATTCTTACTGGATAAATATTATGATATGTTGTACTTGTGCAGTGGTAGAAAATGCATTGTAATATGACATATTACAGCTAAAATGATTGTGTGAAATTACAGTAATAATCAGGGTAATTAAAGTTAAAATTGCTTTTGTCTTTGTATTTCAGATGTCTCATGCAGCTGCGACAGCTCTATGTCGGTCTATCAAACTCCAGTGCGAGTTCTACCCTTCGCGTGATGTGGCCCTGTGCCTCGACCCTTACTGTGGCCTAGGCTTCGGGCTTTGGTGTCTAACGAGGTAAGTCTTCACTAACTGTACTCTAGTTGTGAACTACAGAAATATTTCCATGTTTCAGTAGATATTGATGTATCACTTCCTGATTTTTATTGCAGTATTTATTCTGGTCATCATTCCATACTGATTGCTCCTTCTGAGGTGGAGACAAATCCAGCAGTCTGGCACACAGCAGTCAGTAATTACAAAGGTAGGTTGTCTCCCTTGGCTGTCTTAAACAGATCTAGATCAGATCTAGCGAAACAAAGATTTGTTCTCTTTATGCCCCAATCATTTTCTGTGGTCATGGGATGTAAAATGTTACCTGTGCGCAGCTATTTATTCAGGGTCATATCAACACTTGTACTTGGTACCAAGTAACGTAATCTATAATTTTTATTATATGACATGACTGTCTAGTTATCTCTCATCACATCCTGAATCAGTGTAATCTCTCTAGTATCACATTCTTTGATCAAATTTCAAACAAATGTAAACCTCAGCATCTCAGATGATTTTAAATCAAGTTCACTGTTACTATTTATAGAAAAGCATCAACCAATATAGAGATTGCATAAATTGCTTTAAAATTATACTTCATAATGACGTCATCTTTATGAATACCTAAATAAGTTTAAGTTCAAAGGGCAATAGTACCATTAACATCTATAAGTTTTGGACATAAGGTTCAACAGCATATTTATTATTGTTTTTCATTCCATCAGCAGTTAGTCACATTGGACCAATGGGCGAGTGATTAACCAGATATAACATCAATATATGTTCTTTTAAGGTTTTAATAAAACATTCTTCTCTTTGTCAGAAGATCAAGGAAGCTTGAATTACTGTTGAAGCCTATATAAACAGTATAGATATACATTCCATCCCACACCTTCTTATATTGTTGTTTATGTTTTTAGTTCGAGATACGTTTTGCTCCTATGGAGTAATGGAACTATGTACGAGAGGCCTAGGGACATCTACAGCTACTCTAAAGGTAAGCATTGCTGTTTTAACAATTCATTGGTTGTTGCTAGTTTCACTTATTACCCATAATTTCTCGTGATGAACAACTATGTTTTCTGTATGAATTTCTAATAATTTAAAGTAAATTGAACAAAAATCGGTTGAAATCTCACAATGATAAGCCAATAAATCATTTCAGGCTTCCCGCATCAAATATGTCTTGTAAAATGTAACTAAAAATTTGATCATGACCACCAACAGTCAAATACTGTATGAGGCTATATTGTGTTACCTACTTCTCTGGTGAGGTCAGATGTGAAATGATACTTGATTCACTGTTGCTTGGTCTAATATCTAGTTATATCAGTTTGAATTAATATGATAAGTTGAATTACTGTCAGAGTGATTAAGTTCAGTTGGCAATATTGTTTTCTGTGACAAAGGCTGAACATGTTTGACTTCATGGTCACATTCTGTTCTAGGCTCGAGGTGTAAACTTAAGCTGTGTGCGGACGTGCTGTGTGATAGCAGAAGAACGTCCGAGGATCCATTTGACCACGTCTTTCACAAAACTGTTTGCAAATCTGGGTCTGTCTCCGAGGGCAGTCAGTACAAGCTTTGGCTGTCGAGTCAACCTTGGCATGTGTTTACAGGTAGGTTCAGTGTATCATGATCAATCTAGATAATCGATGATGTGCTCCTAACATGCGATTGACCACAGTAACTGATGTAAGTTCCTTGTATTTTGCCATTAGCATTTTGTTGAACATTATGTTTACCAGCACTGTATGTGATTGTACTTGTTATCAGGGTGCATCCTGTCCAGATCCAACAACAGTGTATGTAGACTTGAGAGCTCTGAGAAATGACCGTGTTACCCTGGTAGAGAAGGGAAGTCCTCACAGTCTTTGTGTGATGGAATCAGGCAAGGTATGTAACGAAAAAAGTGAAAAAAAAAAATGAAGTGCAATTGTCAAACATATCTCATACCTGAATTTAAATTTCATTTTGAAAACAAATTCCAAGTTCACACAGATCAATGAATGCTGGACTCATTTTCTGCAGATTAAATGCAGGACTTTCTGATTATGAGGGTTGTATTGTATTAAGATGTCTGTAACTAGCAAGTGTCTCTTTTCTGTTGCCAGCTGCTTCCTGGTGTCAAAGTAGTGATAGCTAACCCCGACACTAAAGGACAATGTGCAGACTCCCACCTGGGCGAGGTTAGTAAAGTGACAACTGTTTCATTAAACAATTTATTAAAAACTTTTGAAATAGTATTTTCAGTGCTGTTTTCTTGGCTTAGAATTGTGTTTAGATAACATTCCTTGAACCAATATATTAAGAACATAATGAATAAGTAATTGGACTAATTAATTACAAGTTATCTTATTTCTACAGATTTGGGTACACAGTCCCCACAATGCTACTGGCTACTACACAATATATGGGGATGAATCACTCCATGCTGACCATTTCGACTCGCACTTGGCAACTGGTGATGCACGACTGTCTTATGCTAGAACAGGTTTCCTTGGCTTTGTGCGCCGTACAGAGCTCACTCAAAGTGATGGAGGTTTGTTCTTTGTGTATTTAGTATCCTATATATGTCAACTTCTAAACATTTTTGGGGATTGGGGGATTTGTTGTTTTGCATTGAAGAATTGTAGCTCTACAAAAGTATCAGATTTTATTACCTCCTTTTGGCAAAATAGCACATTTAAAAAAAAAAAATAGATCCACAAACACAGGCAATACCCCACAGCCTTATTATAAAGTTGGAAATGTGTGGTTCAGGTGAGTGGAAAGTTATCTCAAGAATGGGTTGTGTAGGTCCATAGGCCCAACATCCCCAGTGAAAATGGCGATGACCGGTGATGTAGTTTTTGAGATAATAAGCGGTATGCAATTGTGGACAGACGCGTGATTGCAATACCCCACACCCTTTTGGGCGGTAGGGTAAAAAATTATACTTTATCATTCTGATGCTAACTGCTTAATTATTTCTGGAGCTGAGATTAAAAGAGTTGTTCCCTCAGAAAATATTTGAATTGTCATATATGGTATTTGTTAAGTGGAAGTTCTGTATAAGAATATGACCAGAATATATTATATAATCTGATTCCCCTTGGTCCAGTATGAAATGAAATGTAAGCCTTGCACTGTAGTTCAGTATTCATCAAATACTGTCCATGTTAACAGTTTGAGTAACAGGTATTTTTGTTTCAGAACGCCATGATGCCATATTTGTGGTTGGAGCCCTAGACGAGACAGTGATGTTAAGAGGGATGAGGTACCACCCCATAGACATAGAGAACACAGTATCGCGTTCCCATAGAAAGATCTGTGAATGGTGAGTAGATAAACACAGTATCACGCTCCCATAGAAAGATCTGTGAATGGTGAGTAGATGAACACAGTATCACACTCCCATAGAAAGATCTGTGAATGGTGAGTAGATCAAGTGATTTAACTTATAAATGCTTGTAATTTGACTCATCAGTTGTATTTAGAACCGTTGCTATGGAAACATGATGGATGCTTCTGATTGGTTGAAATTGAGATATTATCTGATTAAGTTAAAAATTGGTATACAAAAGTTTAGGAGGATGACAAATACAATGATAACATTTTTGAATAAAGAGGTTGCTTTTTTAATGGGGAGTGGGGGATAAAGAGTACTAGTTGGCCATCCTGGTGACAGTACTAGTTCTTTAAGGCATTTGTTAACCATCCAAACCAGGCGTGCATCATAAAATGACGCTGAATGTTGATAGGACATAATGCATCAATATACCAAACTGATGATTTAACAACTTCTTTGCAATGTTAAAGTGATCAATCATGGAATGATTATAATGAATTTGAATCAACAAGTAATTTACAAAGATAGACTTTACATTTGAAGGGTTTGTTAACAAGATTCTTTCGAAGACCGACAGGATAAGCTTATACTTATGTATACAGTGTTATAAGTACTTAATTTTGGTTAATTTATTATAGCCATTAAAAAATCTCCATCCTTCATCACAGGTTACTGTGTTCACAAAAATAGATTTTTTCTCTTGATGATTTTTTTTGTTCCTTTAAAAAATCAAAATCTTTGCAAACTGTGTTTGAAACACATTTATAAATATTTCTTGTGGAAAATTTGTGCAATAACAAGTTTATGAGAACTCTTATTGTCATGATTATTCACTGTTGTTTGTACTGGAAGTTTTCCTTCTTTTAACTGTTTGGTTTTCTGTTTTAATAGTGCTGTATTTACCTGGACAAACCTGCTGGTAGTTGTCGTAGAATTGGAGGGAAATGAGAATGAGGCTCTAGATCTGGTTCCCTTGGTGACGAACGTTGTTCTGGAGGATCACTACCTCATTGTAGGGGTCGTAGTGGTGGTGGACCCAGGAATCATTCCTATCAACTCTCGTGGTGAGAAACAACGTATGCACCTGCGTGACGGTTTTCTAGCCGACCAACTTGACCCCATATATGTGGCCTACAATATGTAGTGTATTCAGCAAAAAGGAGAACTCGGCACATCTATAAGATGTCTTCCAAACCTGAAACCTAACCAGCTGTGTATGAAACCTAGACAATATTGAACAGTTAAACTTGAAATAACTCTGAAAGGAACCTTGAAAGTATTTAGCAGCTCAGAGTTAAGCATCTTACTGTGAACCTTCAGGATTCAAAGCAATTAGAAAGTAATCCTTTTGAATCGTATAAAAGATTGAGAGTCATGGACAGTTAATTTGAGATGTGGAGACTCATCCTGGATATCAATCTTATCATTGTGTCATTACCAGAGGTAATTTTATCATCAGTTCAATGGATTACGTTGAAGAATTGGAACGTTTATATCTCACTGACCATATCATTTGATTTGAAATTTTGCCGACAAGGTCATTTGATAATGTGTATCCTGAATCATTCATTTGGGGTTTCTCCCAGGGAGTCGCAGGTGTAGAGGACTGACCAAGACTCAAGTCTTTATGCTGCAGTGGCTATGTTCCCCTACCAATATTTGACATTAAAGGTCACTTTGAAGGTTTGAAATTTTTCATTGTCAGAGAGCCTATCCCTGAAACACTGACAGTGAATCCCCAACATGTCATACTTTGTTAGGCAGGTATATTTGCCATGGTAGAGTCCATTGTTATGTGGTATAAGGATACGCTTACTTGTTATTAGAGTAAGTAGGTATGACCAGGTCTTTTCGATATCAAGATCATGTGGCTTTGAGAAGATCAATGAACCATGAATATTTATGGATGAGAAGACCTCCACCACGATGTTGTGACAAAGTCATATTTGTGACCCCTGACCCCCTCTCCTTTAAAATTATACTTGTGTGTGGACAATTTAGTGTTTGAAAAATTTTTGAACTGTCTCGCAGATGTATTTGTCTGCCTTGTAAAGATGTGAGAATAGTGTTTATGTTTTATCAGCTGATCAACTTGCAGGAATAATGTAAGCCAGATGGCCTAAAGTTTATGGGGCAGTAATTATTCAATAGTTTCTATTCAAGAGAACTTTGTTTTTTGACACCAGAATGAAAAAGTGTAACAAATTTACAGTTTGATGTTGTTAAGATTTAATAGGTGTAAAGTCGATTAATGTTTTATCAAACGTTACAGCTTCATATTTTTCAAAAAAAAAAATTTTTCTTATTTCTTCTTGGAAGCAAATAATTGGATTCTTCTGTATTTATTTAAAAAAGCCTAAATTGTTCAGGTGACCAATTATTTCAAGAAAAGTTTTTGAGTTGACACTCAGATTTAGAAAACCTGTGACAGCCTGAGAAGCATGTGACTTCTGAGAAGTTTATCCCAGAAAAAACATGGGACTTTCAAAGAGCAGTGTATCCAAACATATTTGCAATGGACTGTATGTGTGAACCAGCTCATCTCATTGAATTGAATGTGTACATGTTTTTTACAAGATCATATAACTTATTTTGATGTGCAAAATAGTTATTATATTATGGAAACTGTAACAGCTTTTTACCTTCATATCCAATACAGTTTTACTTCCGTAGGCAGATGGCATCATTAGTTCATATCCAAAACAGTTTTACTTCAGTAGGCAGATAGCATCATTAGTTCTATAGTAAAATTGATTTATAATTATAAAATCCTATGAACTATTCCAATGTTAAGTTACACTATTTCTATACAGTAAGAAGAGGCATTTTTCATTTGATGCTAAACTAGGATATCCAACTAGATCAAAATTTGAGGTCACCATTTGCTGTTGAAATTACTTACAAAAGCTGAATAACATATATATCATTATTCTTTTTAACATTTATTTTGTAACCAAATATTAATTCATACATTATATTAAGAAAGAAGTTTTGGTTTTGTTTCTACCTTGAAGGTCTGGCAGAAATGAAAAAAGACTTACCTATGTAACAGACTTGATATGAAAATATCTCCCAACATCCTGACTGTTGCATATACTGAACATGATGTTCAGTTGTATAGTTACCACAGCATTGATGTATTATCATACTAGGGAGTGTATATCATGTACATATGTATTAATTCCTATATAGTCAGCAAGCTTTAGTGTGATAAAGTAGTTACTTTCCCGTAAAGAGATGTGCAATATTTACTTCATAACAAAAACAAATTATTTGTTACAGCTGGGATAGATAATTAATATTTTTTTGAGTTTTTTTTTTTTTTTTTTTTGCGATACCACTGAGAGTTTGTTATCCTGAATGTATATGGTCAATTAAGTAAATTAGTTCTGTAACAAAATGTACTCATCCCAGAAAAAAAAATGTACAGGTGTATTATGGTGCAACAATGTGTTCATGTGCTCGCTACTGTGGAGTTATTTAAGTTCGTTATATTTTTACATACCTGGTGTGTCAGTTATTTGCTGTTCTGTGTGTACTGACCTATATATATATATATATATATTCTTGAAATGAAAATGCAATGCAACTTCATTTTCATCTTACTTTCAGAGAGAATGTGCTATTTTGTGAAGGAACTATCACATTGAATTTTTTCTCTGATTTCTGTGAGTGAGTAAATGTATTTTGATAAGTTGATTGGTCAACATATCAATTATTCAGGATTTGATTTTAATAGAACCTGGTCTATAGATAGGTACTTAAAAAGTCGTCGCCAAATTAAGGTAAAAGATTCTGTTTCATTACCTATCAGGAGTTATTTCCCCTGGCATTAAACTTCTCTATAATTGGAGGAAGCGATTGCATGTTTTTGTCAGTTACCTCTAATTGTCTTAAACTTTGAGGGAGAAAGTATTTCACTTGATTTCACATTTGATGTTAAGTTTTGATTAAATCTGGATACAGTGATTTGTTAGTGCTACGTATGAAATCTCTTCAAGGACAATTCCTTGATCATAGCTATAGTGCTCATAATAAGCCGACATAATCTTATCGTAATTTGAATGTGGTTTGCTTTGTCTTTTTGGACAACTTAACAGAAGTCTGTGGTACACTGTGACTTTTCCTAGTGACTTTTTGGACAAATTCCAGTGTTACGAATATACATCTAAGTTTGTGGTAAACTCCGAGACTTTTCCTAGTGACTTTGTTACCTTTCAGTTGAAGGTACAATCGTCAAAATTCTAATTCAACAAAGTCAAAGTTTGATCAAATTGAAAATGTTTAATCTATGAGCAAATAACATTTATTAATCAAGTTTAAGCAGACATATTAACACTGCTGGGCTTTAGTTTGTTGAAGTGTTATTTATGTTTTAAACATTCGACAGTCTTGTCTTATTCACAATATAACTGTTCATCACTTCAAAAAGTTTATGGACTATATTGTTTTGCAAATATTCATTTATTTAATAATTTTTAATTGTTTCTATTCCTGAGATTGTTGATAGAAATTGATGTCTTGATATAAGATGGAAATGTTATATCTCAAGATAAACTTTATAGTTTGTTAAGTGTCATCAGAACTCACAAAGTGATTCTTCTGTTAATGGGATGTTCAAGGCTTCCCAATTAAACATTTATCTTACCCTAGGACGTTAGTGTTTTGATGGACAATTTTGGAACCCTTGGGTTCAGTAGATGTTTTCTGTGTCCTCACTTAAACAATTGTTTATATCTGTAGAAATAATGAGATAACATTCTCTAAACTAATCAAGACAAACTTTTCACTTCACTGAATATTGTGTGTTAAACTTTATTGATATATTAGAGATTGAGGAATAGAAAAATTGCTGAAAGGATGGTCTTGAATGAGCAGAAGAGAGCAGTGTGCCTGAAAGACTTTTTATACCTTCAATGATAAATAGGTACAAAATTTGCTGATATTTAAAAAGCAGTTTTAATATCATGTTAAATTTATAAAGTTTGAATGAAATTTGTAAATCTGTATACAAGATGTTTTCTTGGCATATCAACTGTATGTGTCAGTGTTATTAACCAAATCTTGTGGAGAAGCATAATCCTACATGTATATGTTGCTGTTTTGGAATTTAAGAATGATGACAATAGCACAAATTAATTTGATGTTGACTTTTATAGATTTCATCAAATATCAGGTGAAATTCAAACTTAATAAGGTTGATATTTTAGTTAAAGTTGAAGATACTGGCAACATTTCAAAGTCTGGTCTTAGAATTACAAATTTGTGTAATTGAAAATGTGTTAAATTTTGCTGTGGTTAGTAGGCAGTTATGAAGTATCTGTATTTGTTCAACAGCTATCCATTGACTGGAAAGTGTGAATGTTTTGAAGTAAAATTAAAACGTAAGTTCTTATGTATGTAGCTATTTTTGTGCAGCACACTAATATCATGTAAGGAATATGTTTTATCACACGTCAGAGAGTTTCTGGTATGCCAAGTCAAGTTATATATTGAATAACAGTTGTACTTCACAGGAAATTCAGCTTAACCAATGTAATACTGGACTTAATCAAAAATTGGATCAGTTGGTGAGGGTTATATTTAAACACAATGTTTATAGTATATCTATCTCCAGTCAGAGACAGAGAGAGCGAGCACACCGAAAGGAAACCCTGTTTTAATCTCGTATTCACAATTGACTAAAATATTTGTTTAATGGAAGAAAACTCAACCAGTTCAAAATGGTACAGATTAATTTTTTTGTTTTGGTCTGGGCATACACCTTTGCAAAAAGCATTTATTAAAATTAGGAATTTTTTTGTTCTGTTTTCATAATTACCAAAATTGTGATTTAAACCACAGCTGTTTCATTATGTAACTTAAAGTAAGTTTAAAGCAGTATTTATTTGATGTAGTCACCACATTCTGCTTAAAGGTATATCAGTATATATATGATAACCAGAGACACCTGTAGAATATTATATACTGTATCATAGATATGAAAGGTTCATTTTTAGGGCATTTATTGTTTCTCCAACACACTTAGATAGAATTTGTGAACAAGTGTCATACACAGGAAGTATTGTAATATTCAAGTTTGTTATTCTTTGTTATTCTACATAGTGTCGGTGTGAACCACTTTCTCTTTTTACATGTTAAGTCTGGTGAGCAAGTGCTTAATGAGTGTTTCATCTGTCGACGTTATCAGTGTCTTGTGATTTCGTTCAATATTGTAACATTATTTCATTATAGTGTGTATCACATGTTATTTATCTTCTTGCTAATCTGGTATCGCTAGGCCAAGTTTTTGTACAATTTTTAGCATATTTTTTTGTACATGCATTTTGTGAGAAGGAGACCTACAGAAAGATGTGATGTCATAGCTGAAATAAAGCTCTTAAACTCTTACTTCAGTCTCCACAGTTCTTTTTCTTTTAATATGTATTAATTCAAACTACAATCACAGAAAGTGTTAAAAGGCAGGTGCCCAGGACACACAAAATAAATAACACTTATGGATTGGTACAAACCACTAGGCATACTGACAGACATTAGTAGGATAGCAAAACTTATTTCAGATATTTAATAAAATGCTTGAATTAGTTTCATAATATAGCAAAACTTATAAATCGATGTATTCCCGACACATCTACTCCCTTTCTGGAAGTACAATAGAATTTACTATGGATAAAAACAACAAAATACTGACACTTTAATGAAAATTCTTATTTTCATTCTGTACAAATACAATCAAAACGCTGTATTTTATTTTGTTGGCCTACTGTTTTATTAATCTGATTTGGAGAACAGCCAATGACAAGTTCCGATGCTACCTGGTATAGAAGTAACCTTGTAAACCACAGGCACTCGAGGCCAGGATATTATTTTTTAAACATTGATTTTTGTTTTAGAATCGTTATTTGAAATATCAGCAGAATTCAAGTTTATGTGCCGGTTGACAAATCCGAGGTCCACGGTCATTAAAAATACACGTGTTGTAAACGAGGTGAATCTGTCGTACAGGAAGTGTCCATAATCATCAGCCTTCTGAATCCAGGCTAGGTCGTCTTTGTTGAGCTGAGCTCACAGTAAAGTACAGATCACATGTTAAATGACCAGACTTGTAATTTCACATTCTTTTTCAAAAAGTGGGAAAATAAAAAGAGGTGGAGGAGTCCAACGTCCTGCGAGTTGTACTAGTTGGTATCGGTAAAAGAATCCTTGGTGGATCCAAAGGATTCTAGCAGAGCTCCATAGACGATAGATACTAACCACTAAATAAAGGATGGAACATCAACACCAAGGATTCCGTGATCGCTGGTTTTATTAGGTTGACATGTTTCGGCTAACTAGACTAGCCGTCATCAGAACAATGGTACAAGTATCGGCATAGCTAAGCTTAAAATTACCCTATTATTGATCCAATTGCAACATCTCGCGGCGATCTCGGAAATCAACTTTAAAATTGTCGCGAGGTGTTATCATAGACTTCTGATAACTGTTACAATATTTTCACTGTCGTTTGCTGTGATAATTGTTATGACTTCCCTGTACTATCCTGGTCATAAAAAAACATCTCCTAGACGACCTCTCGATGCCATGAGATTTGTGTCGAATGCACTGGAACTATCCGTCATTAGTTTCCAGTAAAGACAGCACACTCCGGTCAGAGGCACGACAAATATACCGTTCGAGTTTTTATAACCGTTTCCATGGTTAAGAACAGCATGGTCATATACAATGGATTGACCCAAAGCCATCTTATGAAGATCACTGCCCAACGCTGCAGTAAAAGCGACCCGGCCATAGTTCTCCAGCTCATAACCTTCAATAGACCTATATCTTCATGTATTTAGCTGTTATTAAGTCTTAGCACTAAATAGATACTAAAATTATGTTACTTATTAGAGGTTCTGATTTTTTTGGGGAGAGACTGAACTTGGAAAAAATATATATCGAAAAGAAATGAAAGAAATAATCAGATCTTTCGTTCAAGTGTTTTTGAAAATCACGAAAATTTAAACGATCGAAAAAAAAACAACTTTTCCAGTGCAGTTTTTTTTATGGATTTCTCATCTTTGAGAACATGAAAGAAAACGGTCAATATTAAGTACACGCGTTTTTTCGTACTCGCGTAACGTACATGTGTGTGGCTGTTGTGTTGTATCTTTGAGAATTTAGATTTCCTCTGTCAATAATTGGTTATTTTTCTTGAGTTCTGTCATTTCTGCTTTCATCTTGTTAAATTCTTGCAAAATATTCGAATCGAACTCGGCGGCCACGAAAATATGTATGCCGACTAAAAAGAAAGCCATTAGAACCGCCCGTATAATGGTTACAGTGTGTGTGGTTCACAGACATCCTATTATAATGACTTAATAGAATGCGTACAAGTGATTTGCACGTTCGAATACGTTGACTTCGGGACAACAATCATTCAAATGTGTAGTGTCTAATTTTCTTTTCAAACCACACCCTCTCCACTACCGCCTTACTTATCTAACCCGTACATGACTTAGTGTTAAGTCTTGATCTAACTTTTAAAAAGTCAGTGAAAGTTGAAAACTTCATTCTTTTCATTAGTTGTCAATAATAACATTCTTGTCATGTAACCATTTCTAGTTTTTAGCTTACTATAACCAGATGATGGATTTCAAATCGCGCTGCGTCCGAGCTCCATTGTCTGTTCGTTCATTTGACTGAAGACGATTTTTTTTAGAAATACGTGGTGGAACTTTATCAAATTTCACATGACACAACCCTTGGCCCTTTGGCACACACACGAACAATATGACCTACAGGCGGCCATCTTGGATTTTGACAATCATAATTTTCCCTTCAAGGGTTATTTGAGAACTGATCCGAAAAATAAAATGGCCGAAATGATTTGTGCACTTTGGATTACTCTCAATATTGGTTAGGTCCTCTTAGTCATACTGAGTTGTTTATCGTCCATTCTGGGAATGATCTGAAAAATAACAACCGACATCTTGTTTTTTTAATCATAAGGATTACTGTCAAGTTTCATTGCAGGTTTCCCGTGGTGTCTCGTGTGCATTAGACGAAAAATATATTATTAATGAATCACCTGTCAATTCAACATATTCAGATGTAAGGTTATCACGTACTGTTCAAATTTTCAATATTTCAAGCTAGTTGATATTTCCTAGTTGACCGAGTAGTTTTTTCTTCTGCTTTGTATCCGGTTTATTTGTTTTGTTTCTTTGTTTGTTTGTTTTTTGTAATTGTAAACATTCTCCCGCGACTGAACCCCGTCATGACTATATCAATGTGACAGTGTCAAAAAGTTGTGTAAATAATTGACTTTTCTTCCACACGTGCATTTTGTGCTTATTTGTACTAATATGTGTATATACTACAGATACATACAGATTTACTTCCATACTATAACTTGTAGGGTCGCTAGGTAATAGTTTGATATCTGTAGAAGAACTTGGATGCATAAGTTCATTTTTTATTTATTTTTTTTTTGCGTGAAAATGTGCCTATATTCAAATATATTATTCATCAATTTTCGAATAAATGTTTCGTTGACTTGTATATATATCTTATTATTTCACTGTGTCTGTTTTTTCACTTCTTTTCCTTATTTCGCAGACCTGTCACCGTCACTTGTATAACTACATGTTCTGTATTTTAAAATTTTTTGATCTATTTAAGTGTTACTTTAAACTAAACTATTGCACACTGCTCAAGAAAGACGAGGTAAATCAACATTCACGTTCAGTAACTAGTGACAAGCGGATCATAACGATAGGCTCTGCTTCCGATACATTTGACATTATTCAAATTATGAATAATTAAAATAACTACATTATTAAAACAGTGAAATATGATATAGTATATATTATATACATCACTGTTAAAAACAAATTTAAATTTCACATTTATTATTCATGTGGATTTCTAAAAAGTTTCAAAATTAAGTTTTCATTTACAAATTATTGAGTCCTCTATTCGCTCGTTTGTGCCATGTCAAAACTACACGTGTCAAGGTTAAAATCTCAGTTCTAACTGTATGTAAAATCGAAGTTCTCAAATGAAGTTACCAGGAACAACCAGTAAACAATTACTACCTGTACGTTTACAAATACCAGTCCGAAGTTCGGTGACCCGTGACCACGGCAAGCTTGGACATATTGACCATGGTCAGTTAAGGTGAAAGTCTTTTACACACGTCTCCGCACACGTTCTCCACGACCAGGTATGTACACTAATTTTGGATACAACAGTATCCTGTTCTGTTATCAGTGTGGAAATAACAGAGTCTGTATTAATTTATTATCTTATTCATTTATAGTTAAATGGTATATGATTGGTATATGATCGGGACGTGCGATGAGACCCTCGTGTATTGCGAGTCAGTGATCGTATAAACATACTGTACGGTAAGCACGTGTAGGTACCGATCACCAATTCATTATCTTTTAGGTGTCAGATTTAGAGACAAATACGAACAGTGTATCTTCACAGATACTTGTCAATTTACAGTGATGGATATCAAAGTGTGTGTTTTATATGTACCTATATGTTGCTAAGTCAATATTGATGAAAGCGAAACTGGAATGACCACAGGATAACGCTATGATCGGTAACCTTCTAATACAGAAATAACACAGCGGAGACACTTAGTATATTAGCAGAAACTCTTAGTATATTTTCTATGTAAATTCCTGGACAGAAACCGTCACATGTTTCGATGTTTCGGTGATAGCTTATTATTGAACAGATAACATGTTTGTCTTCAAGCCTGTCTAGGTGGATACATGATTTCCATTTTAATCATCACTATCGATTTAAACGTTGATAGGTATTTAATAGCCATTGATTCTACCATGAGTCCAGAAGCTGTATTTAATGTCGCACAATGGAAACCTGATAAAATTAGTACTGTAATGATATTCTTTAAACAAACTTCAATAGACTTAAAAATCGATCACTGTACCAAAGACATATTGTAATGTTGAATCGGAGTTATTTCCCCTGTACTATCAAATGCCAATAGTTTGATTATTTCACTAATCACTTCTTGGTAGTGTCATAGAGCATATAAAATTTTACAGCATCCTGAAAATGGGCGGATACAAAACGAGGGCGGAAGACGGGTTGAGATGATCTCGATGTATTTCAATGGGAAACTAGATTGATATTTAGAATTCTGCGGCTTTTCATGCAATACACATTGTTTTTAGTTCTTTGGATGTAATTCTAACTGTTATTTAAAACAAATTCAAATGCTTTTGATCTGGTGTTGACTTAAATTTTAAAAAGTAAAATATATGCAAAAATCAATGCGATAATTCAAGTCTTTCTTCCGGTACATATGTCACAATATATATAACAGGAAACGATTCCTTGTCACATATCGTTCTATTTTTTCCCTGGAT